GCAATAACCAAAGTCATGTTTATCTACTTCTGATTGTTAATCGGATTCTATCAATCATGTTAAAATGTGACTAATAACGAGTACCAACTAACTCAAAACATAGGTATAGTGTTTCCTTCTAACAACTGTCAACCACCTAACATTAACATATAATGCATTTTATGTTAAGTCATGTAAACTAGTAACCACATTGCAACATGATCAATAGAATTCAATTAACACTGAAGACTAGATAAACAGGACATTAGTTGTTACTCATTAAATACTTAGTTTATAATTAATTACATGTAAAGATTTACTAACCTATTTATCAGCAGTTCAGCAAAAACATCAATACATTTTGTAAATGAATCAGGTTTCGTTCATTTAAATATTTCATTCAATTTTTAGTTGTACCGATAAAAATAACTAGAATCAAAGGGTATATCTAACTAAAAGTAACTGGAGACAAATAAATGAATGAAAAACAAATGTGTTAGTATTTTCACTGACTTTTCTTTCAAGCCTCAAATATCAGTTTCCATTTCTATTACGAGTTTCTTAAAAATATGAACGACCATTTAAATAGTGTGGCTGAGATATAGTTACTCAGGAATCCAGTTTATTTACTTATAGTTACTAAGTAAAGATTAATGAAAACTTGAAAAAGAGTTATTTTGTATAGGAAATTGAGATTTTATACAAAATATTTAATACAAACTAAACGTAATTAAAAATAATTCGGAACTTGAATGATTATGAGTTATGAACCTTATAAGTTATTCATCAGCTTATTACACTATGTATACGTTTTGTCCTATATATTGGCTATCTGAATTATTGTCATTTTGACATTTATCTTTTACATAATCTGATGACGCATTAAAAGCATAATTGTCAAATGTATTTTACGTTTATGCATGTGAATTAGAAATTTTATTTCTTAATGAAGAATATTTTGTTGCAAGTAAATTTACCTATACCCTACAATATATCATTGAAGAAAAAAAAGAATTTGAATAAATGACATATAGAACACTTTGATTATATCTATTTATGAACTGATACTAATAGTTATTACGTCACGTTAACTATAAATCATTCGAATGGCATTACTTTATTAAAAAGACAATACCCCAAAATGTAGTAGTATATCTTTTATAAACTACCACTAACAAACAATTGATTGTTTTTTTAAACGTTTGTCCAACACTGTGACATTTAGATTGTATCAGTGTATAGGTTTGTCTTGACTTTAAGAAGTTACTTTTAAAGCAGCTGATGAAATCGATATGTAATAGCGACGGAGAAAAAAAAACATTACTATAGTAAAAAATAAGGGAGTATCCTAGCAGAATGGTACGTTTACTTTATGAGTGTAATGTATAAATAAATAATATAGGGTAGACATTTCTAACTGTCCATACAGATATTTTATAAAAAGAGATGTTCATTAAATATAGAAACAATATAACTATCTTAAGTTGTTTGACATTTGAAATATTCAATTGTTGATTCATTCTAAGATATACAAATTTGGTTTTTATTTCTACTAAAACTAAATTGCTTAATTGATTAACAATATTTTTGGGTTTAATGTTTTGACCTGGACAGTCATAATCTAGATCTATTTTAAAACCATAGCAACAATATTGAATTTATTGTTTTAATAATTTTTTATGTTAAACAATATATATTTATATTTTAATAACGAAAGTAACTTATTATCTAATTGAAGAAGAGTTAAAGATAAAACAATAAAGAGAATTTTGTTTTAGACATTATGGTTTATTCATTTCGTAAATATAAAAGGGACTAATTGCTTTAAATTGTTTATTCAAACTAGACAATAACATTTACAGTAATTTAACAAATAATGTAGTCTAATTCTAAAAAAAATGGAAGGTATATTACATAACAAAATGTTTGAAAACTTCACTGATCTAAAGAGATTCGTGTGATGAACGTGAAGTTACATACTGTGTAAAATGAAGTCACATATGTGAAAGATGATTGCTCATTTGATGAGTATGAAAAAGCTGAAGGATTATTTCACAATATAATAATAATTAATAATTTTAAAAAGATTTACAAAGAGTTAAAAGATAGTGTTAACAGTGATTGGATTGTACGAATGGTTGCTATTGAAATATACATATCGTCAATCCTTATATAATACTATCAACGAAATTAATTGAGTCAAATATTTTGTACACTCATTGATATGAACAGATAATTAGAGAAACAAAGCAAAGAGAAGAGAGCAAAGCAAACTGATGCTCAATGGAGAAGGCATGTGAGCTAATTCCATTTGATCAAACGTTAATCAATATTTACAGTCACATATAAATAACGTACAGAAATGCGATGAATAGGATAAGAAATGTACACAAAAACGCTTACTAAAAACACTCAAAATTGATAAGTGAATAAATAACAAGGTCAAAATGTGAATCAAGTAGAGTAAGTAAATTAACCTTGTCCAGGAGGCAGAATAAGTCAATATGAGTTTAACATGATAGCTGACACTACTTTTAAGTACTTACTTACCATTGTTACTCCCAATGGAGCATAGATCGCAGACCAGCATTCTCCAACCCACTCTGTTCTTTACCTTCCTTTCTAGTTCTATACAATTTTTGTTCATTCTTTTCATGTCTGTCTCCATTTCTCGGCATGATGAGTTCTTTGATTTTCCTCTTCTCCTTTGGCCTTGAGAAGTGATACATCTTTAATTCTTCTTGAATATATCTTCGTTTGATTTGATTATATTCTTTATCATTATGTTCGTTATTTTGTTTCTAGGTAAAAAATTATGGTAAGCTAAACAATATTGTGTATTTTTTAAAATACGCTCAACTTGACATATTTAGTAAGTTAATGTGGGGAATTGAGGGAAAGTTCATGTTTGTTAATGAGACCGCTGGTTTGTTCTCTCCCACAGTAAGTTGTTCCTGATAGTGTCTGGCCAACAGATCCGAAGTATTTTTCATAGGCAACTGTTAATAAAAACTTGTATCTTCTGGATGATGGCTTTAGTGGTTCTTCAAGTTTCAGCCCTATACAGTTGAACTGTCTTGACATTTGTTTTGAAAATTCTGGTAGTCGTTTTTAGTTCCAGGTGTTCTTCAATGGTAGATATGCTCCTCTTGCTTTGCCGATCCACGCCTTCATATCTTCATTAAATCCACAGTGCTCATCAATGATGCGATATTTACTTGATAAAAATTCTTATTAATTATTTAAGTAGATGACATTTTTCTAATTTAGCTTTTTGATCGAATCTGATTCTTATCAGAAGGGGGTTTTGTGGAGATTTTCGTAATTTAGTAATTGAAATCATGAGACAATTAAAGCTAGACCACTATGGAAAACCTGGAAGCATTGGACGGCCATTTCGTCCTAGTGTGAGACTCTTCAGCGGTGCGCATCAACGATCCCGCCCGCGGGATTTGAACCCAGGACGTATCGGTCTCGAGCGTGAACGTGAGCTAGATCATGGATGCGCACTGCTGAGGAGTCCTATACTAGGACGGAACGGCCGTTCAGTGCTTCCAGGGTTCGCATGGTAGTTTAGCTCTAATTGACTCGTGATTTCAAAAACTCTGATTCTACTTGTATAAGGAAACAAATAACTAATTATAATACCGATGAAAGAGAATTATAAAAAAAGAACAGTAAATAATAATTGTTTGTTTAAAGTAAATAGATTTTGTTAAGTAAGCTTTAGTCTTAAAAAATAAATCAGAAAACTATCGAAATTCAAACTGAGTGAACTGAAAAAAAATAGTTCAAAGTTATCAGGAAGGTTAATGGAATATTGGAGCAGATTTGTAATTGAATTATATATTCAGTTGTCATAGATTAAGTTTAATTTTTCAACAAAAAAAATATTGATTTTATTGAAAAATGTTTGTTGAACGAATTTCTAAAGATTTATGATGTCTGGGAATTATTCATGACTTTCATAGATACACAAAATGTATTATTTTAGTTGATACATTTTTTCGGAGAAATTAAAAAAATAAGAAGTGAAGAATAAAGTAATGGCTATTGGCAAACACTATCAATTATGTACAAAGCGTCGTTAAATGTAATAAAGTTTACTGCTTATATGACCCTCCTTCAAGAGGAACATTGTTGAAGAAAAAAACTAATTCACTAACTAGAGACCGATCACAAACCAGGAAACAGTAGAAAACTGTTTTGTTCTTGTGAGAAACTTCTTGGTATTGTTCACCTAATACTTTACAAGAGATCAAATACAGGACTGTACGGTTATTATTTTTTTAGAATGATACGTTTGAACTATCAAGTTAAAATACATTCTCCCACCTTTCTCACTTCAGCTTATCTGTGATATTGTGCGATCATTATAAGATTTTGCTATTGACATTTGTCACTTCTATTACATACATTTTCGTCACTGTTATCGACTATTCACTGAAATTTCACAACATTCGGAGTTAGTTTATAGAGAGAAAATGAGATTCACTATAGTCTGTGATTGGAGGAAGTCATTTAGCTTTTTTGAAGTTAGTGTTCATACGTATCTAACATCAGCTGTTGAGTGATTTTGAGATCTGTTTCACTATTCAATGTGAAATTCTCCATTTATCATTTTCCGTAAAAAAACAAAAGGAAACGTTGCCCCATTGCACAAGCAAGTGGCTAAGTAGATAATCCGATAGCTTTCGAAGCGAACGGTACTAGAGTTGAGTCCTGGAGTAATCATCAACTCTGAGATGCAGGTACATCTAGCTGACGAGTCCCAGGTAAAAAGAAATGCGTGTCCTGTATTCCATTGCTAGCCTCCATCCATCTTTATCATTTTCCGAATAGATTTCATCACGTTTTTAATTGACATGTGTTTGAAACTTTATGCGTTTTTATTTCAACAACCTAAGTAATTATTTTCTCTTGAATAAGGTAAATCAAACGTTTTATATAGATTAGAAAATTTTTTCATAATCCATAGTTTACATCATATTCCCATTTATTTTACTCTTTGTTTTGTTTAGATTCTGAGATTAATCATTTAAAATGTAATGAGCTTGATGAAATTTGTACTTCAGGTAAGCAAATTAGTTTTATTTTACAATTTCTGAACTATTTCTGGAAATATTGATCAGATTTAATAAATCACATTCAGGATGATTGTAAAACGGAAATGTTTTTACTACAAAATTTTTGTTATATATATATATATATATATATATATATATATATATATTCTTGTTAACCTAATCCTTTTTATTTCGTTAAATCTTAGAACATTTGTTAGTTTACCATTAAAATGAATTCAACCGATTATATAAGTTAATTAGGATTATGAAGCAAGATTTAATTAGTTGTACAGTCTTATCCAAGATCAAATAATACAAATCATTTATTGATTCGAATCACAGTGAATTTCACAGTGAAGTAGACAGGTACGGTTGTTTATCATGTTTTCAGTAATAAAATTCAGTGTATTGTATCCAGACTTTATATGGAAAGTGAATTCGAATGAGTTTATTGTAGTGTTTATTTCTAGCCCACTATATTACTTAACTTTTCATCTCAAAATAAATTTACATTGAGTCTTACAAAAATAAACTAATTAGTGTTTAGTTCATCAAGTCTATTACGCAAGTAAAAATTAGTCAGTCAGTCATTTACAACGTAGGACCAGGCAAATATATGCATCGGTCCACGTTGCCACACCTCATTGGCACAGCAAGATGAACACTAAATTCATAGAAGCAATCAACTCAATGGTGTAATATATAAAAGAAAGATTGCATATTAGGATATAGTACAGAAAGAAAGCTAGTTCGTAGAAAGAAAGGTATAAAATAATTTTTGTCTCACAGTTTAAAGGAAGACAGAGAAAGTATACACCTACGCCATTGAGATTGATTCTGAGCCATGTCACCAAAAGTCTCCAACCATTGGTTACGATAGTCACGCGGACCCCAACCAAGTAGTCTGCATCTACCAACATGGCTCAAACTAGAAGTTAGTGACTTCAAGCTCTGATGTCACGTTTTGGTTTGGTCGCCCCTAACTTTCTTCAAGTAAAAATTAAGAAATAGGTGAATTATTAGTAATCTATTAAAATATATTATTACTTCAAAATGGGTGTAATTACGTGCAAACTACATGAAAGATTACCATAAAAAATTTAATAAAATTGAATAAGCCTAAACAAATAGGTGATTTCATGTTCCACTTTTTTTTGCTTATACTTTTGATGTTTGTGAAATGTTTAGATTTTCTGATGAAAATATCTATTATTTCAATCCCTTTTATTTAGTAGTACAATGTATGCATATTATATGTTTGACTATAATGACACTACCTATGACATAATTTCTATTATGTGAACATCAAATGTATCAAAGAAACTGTTAGACTTTTTGTCAATAGCTATATTTGGTGATATATGGATTAGAAAAACTAATTACTCATATTGTAGTGGCTGTGCTTCTTTAACCAATCACCCTCGTAACCGTTATCATATAATCTTCAACGGTATTTGAAATCAGAAGACAAAGTGAAGCATCGACTACAGTTTTATTAGCAGACAACTCAAACCACAAAGCAGAGGCGAATGAGTGAGTCAGCGAGTCGAGAGTGTGTAGGATTAAATGTGCATATATATATATATATATATATATATATATATATATATATATATAGGGAAATGGACGTATCGTCGAATCAATTAAGCAGCTAATAATAAAGCTAGCAGAATGAATATATGCGTAGGCGGTATGCAGTGTTCAAGCATACATATTTCATACAGGCACAATAATAATAAAGGTACAATAAGCTGTTATACTACAGATGGCTCTGTCTGCTAAATAAGTTAACAAAAGGGCTTAACCGATTTAAATGTGACCAAACTCAGTTGCACGTTAGCTACTATAATATATTTCCACAAATTGGGTTCTCTGTTGGAAATCACAACATAATGCGAAGTGTTTCATTCTGCCAATATACAACATAGTTAGAAACAAAATTTTTAAGTTTTCTATTATTGATAGAATTTTAGGTTACGGAGTTACCAAAGCAACATATCGTACTGATAACAAGTTTTTTATCGGCATAGTAGCTTGCTTAACATATTTCAGCTTTTGGAAACAAGTGAAATATGTTTACGGAAATGGAACCCATGTCGGTTATTTAAAACAAGGGTACCATTTTTTCAACAAAACTAACATCTATTAAATTAATAATCGGACAATATATTACAAGGAGTCTAAAGATCGCAGTAAGAACTTTATCTTCCATCCAATTTTACCTGTCCCTTGTTTCAATTCTATAAGGTTAAGAAATGAAATTCTTATAATTTAATTCATAAAACACTTAATATTGAATTCATTTAAAGGTTGATGTAGGTAAAATGTAGTATCTTGAATCTGTCGTTTACATTACATATTTACAATTAAGATGAAGGACTCTTACATCATTTTAAATCCTAGGTTCATTTCTATCCTTGAATAGTGAATATTTTAGATAGTTTAACAGTCTGCTCACAAGGTACTCACGGCTATACACTAAAGGTTTAATGCTCAACCTTATTAATCTCTGAAACATTAGAGAGGAAGAATGTATTTGTAAAATCTCAGCAAATGAATTTGAAGTAAATCCAACGTTCCGCGTGGCGATGTGGTTCAAGATTTTTCAAGGAATTAATCTCTTTCTATAAAGAGGTTTATTTTTTAAATAAGATTGCTTTAACTATGTGTCAATAATTTCAGGCTTAGATAAGTATTTTACTTAGGTATTATGTGTTTCTGATTATACACTTTTGGTCGGAAAACTTGTGATTTAGTATGATTAAATAAAGAGTTCATAACATTGCGACAATTTCATGTATCTTCCGTTACTCTCAGAAACATAAAATGTTAATATTTTTTTCAGTCAAGTTATAACCTTATAGTAGTTGGTGAGAAATATTTTGTTGCTTTTTGTTCATATTTAATAAATAAGGACTTTTTGAGGTAAGATTTGTTCTTGTTTAAATGAACTGACTACGTTTGTGTAAGTGGATGACTATAATGTTTGTACAATTTATTTGTATAGTAGGAAACCTGGATATTATATGTCGTAATAAATCTTAAAATGATAATCTCTAACAACTTGTGAATTACTAGAATGGGTTTTGTGTAGAATTGGTAATTTCAATAGTTGAAATCATGAATCCATTGAAGCTAGACCACCATGGAAAACCTGGAAGCACTGGATGGCCGTTTCGTCCTAGTATGGGACTCCTCAGCAGTACGCATCCACGATCCCGCACCCCGCGGGATTCGAACCCAGGACCTATCAGTCTCGCGCCAGGCGCCTAACCAACTAGACCACTGAGCCGGCATCCAACGGTGTTAATGTCTAACTTCAACTAATCCACGAAGTTGCGCCACCGTCACCATTGTCTTCAGTGAGCTGATATCTCACAACAGACCCGGTTGAACTCCACTGGTCACTACTTCTCACTGGAACTCCAGGATATACCTCTTGAAGCCAGTCACTAGTGAGCATATGTTGATTATTATCATTGAAATTACCATTGAACTTACTAAAATCTCCACAAAAACTTCTTTTTTATAATAATTTTCTTTAAGATAATTAAAACTAATACATAATAATTAAAAATAATTATGATAAAAGATGATATTTTCTTTATTTTTATATTTTTTATTATTTAAAAAATTTGTCACAATTTTGTATGCTTTTAACTTAATTTATCATTTGCCTAAAGAATTAAAGTTTTTTTCTTAGAAACTTTAATTATGCAGGTTTATCTACATTTTAGTTTGTATATTTTTTGTTTTTTTGGTTTACTCAAAATCACTTGACCTCAAATATCCAAAAAAAAAATAAATTAGTAACCAATGTTAAACTAATTGTCATTTGGTTCATAGAAATTATGTTATTATCTTGATTTTGTTGATTAACCTGTGAACTTTCTATTATTTTGTCCTTTTTTTCATTCATTAATTATAATTGTAAAAAAAAGTTTTTTTGCTTGTTTTTGGAATTATAAAATTTAATTAAAGGTTTAATTATGCATAAAAATTAATTATATTTTGCATGACCTTGATAGATAAATAAAGCTGTAAATTTGAAATCTTTTTTATTGAATATAGAAAGGAAATTTAATTGTTGAATTCATGGGCTCATTGAAACTAGACCACTATGGAATACCTGGAAGCAGTTCAAGGTCGTTTCGTCCTAGCGTAGGAGTCCTCACTAATGAGCATCCAGGATCCGGCCTTGTGAGATTCGAACCCAGGACCTATCAGTCTCGAGCTCGAACACTTAACCTCTAGACAACTGATCCGACATCCAACAGTGTTAATGTCTAACTTCAACTAATCCACGAAATTGAGCGACACATTCACTATTGTCTTGAGTGAATTACTATCGCACAACAGACGCGGTTTAAATCCACTGGTCCCTGCTTCTTACTAGAACTCTTGGAAATACCCCTTGAAGCCAAAGTGTATAAGACTCTTAAGAGACTGCTGACTCAATATGTTCTAAGATATGGTTTCTTACAAAGAACTCATTATTTAAAGATATTTTAATACTAGAAGGACTAAGTTAACTTGATTTGTGAAAATCTGTTTGAGTTTCTGTAATGTTGTTCAAAAGGACAGTGAAAACTTCACAATTGATCCGTCCAGATTAGAGATCGCAGCAACTTCAATGTGTTATTTACAATATTAAAATAAGCACTTCACTAGCCATTGTGTGTGTATGAACAACAATCAGGAAAATAAAGTTACTGAGCGTTGTGGTTAAAACTACTGCAGTTTATTATATGTTTATTTTAAATTACCCGAATTCGCTTTACATTGTACAATTTTAGTCTATTACAAGTAACATCGTTTGTCAAAACAAATACCAGTAAATTTATGATGTTTCACTGTTTTTCCAGTTAATGTTTGCTTCTCTCTCAATGTGTTTGTTTATTTGTTGTGACAAATATAAACATAGTTACTTTCTGCCTTGACCTCAGTAACTACATTAATAAGTAGGCAAGTTGTATACAAGAATCCGAGAATTGATAAAATGAAAAACAAAAGTTAAAACCACATGATTGATGTTTATTTCAGGTTAGATTGTATTTAACCGATATTAGTAAATAGTAACAGTCAATCATTGTAACGATTTACAAAATTATGATTAAAATTCTTCCTAATACAATAGAATTCTAAAAATAAGCAACAACAATACAGTATATGACTAAACTAAAATAGTTCACTCACTTTAGATTGGGAGCATAAAGCTAACTAGATGTATTATCTTCATCAGTATCATAACAAAGGTCTGATAATTTCAAATGATTGAACACTAAATATAGTGTCCTTTTAATGTATTTTCTAACCAAAATAAACAGTTTATTAATTTACGGATAGTAAGTTTATTTAATAATAGAAACATTGATAATTATTTGACTTTATTAAAAATTATTAAGGTGCAATCATTTTTTTTTAATCCGCCTGGAGTCCCTCTGGGGCTACTGCCGGTCCCAAGGTCGGTTAAAGAAGGAGGTTTGGGCATGGGGTTAGCCACACAATTCCATAGAAAACTACCTCACCATAAAAACGGTATTCAGAAAAAATTAATTCAAACCAATCTGATCAGGGTTGTAAAGATGAACTTGTTTAGTGTTAGACCATACTATTCTTGAGAATAATTAAAAGAATAAAAAGTATTTACTTTTTCTACAAATATTTCATACCTCAAACTGTTGTGGAACTGATGACACCCAGCTAGTGATAAAAGACTTAGTAGAAACATATTTATCCAGATTACCATCATAGTAGAATAAGATATGGAACTTTGTTTTTAAAAAAAGTGGAAATAAAACATAACCACAAGACAGAAAGATTATAGATTATTGTTTTTATAATGAATAATAAATTTCATAATTGAGTATTAAACTTGACATGATAGGTCAATGGTTTTGCTTTATTTTGCATAGGTAATGAATTGATCTTTGTACTTGTAAAACATGGGTATATGTGATCTCTTTTTAATTTGTTTATTTTGATGCAATTTAAACATTTACGAACAATATTTCTTTGTAATTGATAGTTAAATAATGAATTTAGTAGTCATTCTAGTTGAAATACAAGCTTTATCCTCTGATTCCATTTATTTTCATTTTCTGAAGAGTATTATATATCTAAGCATATTATTTAAATTTAATCCCAGACACTAAAATTCTGATTGATTATATGTTATAGGGAGAAAAAAAGCAAACATCTGAAGCCTGATAGTTGGATGACTTAAAATGAACATTCATTAGGTACATACTATACATGTAAATCTATTTATACTACTTTTTAATTCTTTAAATAGTTACTGAAAATTTGAAGAACTGTAATAGGATAATGATTTCAGAGTACAAACTGAATTTGAAAATTAACAATCAATTCAGTTTTCAAAGAATAATTATCTTCAGTTTTTGCATTAAATCTTTTCATCAATAGTAACTTCTTAACTTAGAGAAATCTTAAGCTATAAACTATCAAACGTTGATTCGGTATTGTACATGATAGAAATAGTTAAAAGTCTTACTTAAGATTCGTTAATACTACACTTTGTAATAATTGTCAAGTTTCATTAAGTTAAACATTACAAAAGTATTTGTAAGTTGTTTTTTTCCTTTATTTCTAAATTTATATTTATTTAGAAAATGTAACAGATGATCTACTACAACGAGCACTTGAATCATTGTCAAATCGATCAATGAAAGATGTACGATTACCATATACGGTAATTCCAAGTTTCTATGATTTAAAACTTCAAGTTCATTTACATCAAGGCAAACCAGAAACATTCTTTTTTAATGGATCTGTTACTATCAAAATTTATTGTTTAGTATCTATTAAACAATTCTTTGTACATGCTCATAGTCGTTTAAATATTAGCTTAGATAAAATCAGTGTAAGTTATACATTTCATTATTAATTTATATACATTTTGAATTGATTTATTTAAGTATTTACCAATTTGAAAATAATAATCCTGAATGAATCTGTCTTAGTTATTTATACTACTAAATTTTATAAAAGTTCATTAGTAATTACAATTCCAATGGATTGGAATACAATATTAATAAAATTGTTATACTAATGTGTATGCTACTGATGTCGATAAATATAAGTAATATGTATCATCAATCGAAAGTGAAATACTTAGTGGCAGAAGGTTAAGACGATCAAAGAAAAGAGAACGAGAACAGAATATGATTGGTGTAGAAACGAAATAACAATCAAATGTGAATGAATTGATTTAAATTTTGTAAATGAAATATTTGCTGTATGGTCCTCATATTTTAGTAAGAGATTTTGTAATTTTAAGTCCAAATATATTTGGTTGTCCCTCATTAGTGTTCTCATTCACTACAATACTGTTATGCCCTGATAAGCATAGTGAATGATAACCTTGGAATCTATTTACGGACCAGTACCATCTGTATATTTTTATCGTATAATTCTTAATTAACTACACTATTCATATTCGTGTTCATCTTAGCATAAGCTTTATTTTGACCTATGAACTGTTATTATACGATCTACCATTCTTGAACTATTCCCTGTCTATTATTCACTACCTTCCATATTCACAGCTATATTTGGCTAAATCTTGTACAAATGTTGTTTCGTATTTTATTGGTACGATATGGTCTGTCTAGTTGGTATATAAACCGAGTATTTTTGAAACAAATGACTCATATCGTAGAGTCTAAGACTGGTGTTCTGAACTTAACTGGCTGGGCTATGCCGTAAGCAGGACCGATAAGGACTCTAGACTGTTCGTACAGGTTTTATGCGTCATTGGTTCGATCGATAATTCACTGCTCTGTAATTGGCGGTATCGTTAGGTTTACATTAACAGGGTACACAGGCCACAAGTTGTAAAAAATAATACTGACAAAACTTCAGAAATGATATATATTTAATCTTAAAGAAAAAGAGATCAACTTAATGAATATAAATTTATAACATAATAGTATTACTATTTAACAATCTTGGAAGATAAAATATGTGTATTGCACTAGCATGTTATTGTTAAATTCTGTCATCGACTATTGACAAATCGATAAAATCACTGTCATATAATTTCGTAAATAACACTTCAAAACTTTTCATATTTTCATCTACAATATTTATGATGAGATAACAAGAAAATAATTATGTTTAAATTATGAGTTGAAAACTTACTAATATAATGAATCTCATTATTCTCTTGAATTATATATTTGTTAGTAGTATAGATTATACTAATCTGTTGATGGTTCATAAACATCAAGTAGTAGGAATTGTACGGTATATCGATTTTTATTTAGTTAAAACTATAAAGTGGTACGTGTTTTTAGTTGACAAGACGGAAATATTTCAATGAAATAGAATGTAAACTGTAATTTTTTATCAGTATAGGGGTTGTGGAGATTATTAAGTTTTTAATTGAGATCATGAACCGATTAAGGTTAGACCATCATTGAAAACATAGAAGCACCGGAAGGCCGTTCGTCATAATGTTGGACTCTTCACCAGTGCGCACCTACAATTACGCTCGTGGGATTCCAACCCAGGGCCTTTAGTCTCGCGCGCGAACGCTTAACCTACTGGAAGATGGTTGTGCAATTTCGTGGATTGATTGAGGTCAGACATTAACACTATTAGACGCCGACTCAGTGGTTCAGTAGGTTAGGCGTTCACGCGCAAGACCGAAAGCCCCGGGTTCGAATCCCGCGAGCGAGATCGTGGATGAGTACTACTGCGGAGTCCCACAACAGGACGAAGCGGTTTCCAATGGTGGTCTAACATCAGTAGGTTTATGATTTCAATTGAAAATGTAATTCTTGTTGTTGTTTTACATTTACTTAGTTACACTTTTGAAAATGTCTAATGAAAGAGCTAAACATTAAATCACAAACATCAATATAACTCTATGCAATGATAGAAAAAAAACCTGTACTTGTATTGATTTATCAATGAAACTTTTTTCTCTGTTTTTCTTTATTTTCCTGACTACATTTAAACATCTGTTTTATTGAGTTCCATTTTTTTATTTTAAAAAAAATTTACTGGGAAAAGAAACAGAAGTTATGTGTACATATATATATATATATATATATATATATATATATATATATATATATATATATATATATATATTTAAATGAAAATCAATTGTTGTTTTAACATGTATGCCTGATAAAAATTTGGATGTCGCCAATGTTTAATGGATTTTAGTAGATCTTATTTTAACCATTAATTTTACAATTATTCAATTTTGAAGAACAAGAAGAAGAACAACAACAATATCAAAAACAAATAAACGCAACAATCCCATATGGTTATGAAAATGAAACTGAATCGAATTCAAATGAATACAGTTTGTATTTCATTTAATCCCACCTTTTTTTTCAAAATTTACTAATCAATAAGGAGAGTATTTTATTTGATGAAAATTATAAATTTTCATTTCAAATAGTTGCTATGTTGTTAGTAATATGTGTATTGCAAAACATCTAATTGACATTATTTTATAACTAAATAGTATAATCAAATTATTACATCATTATAAGTGTTTGTTTTAATGAAATAATGATTTGTTTATTCATAGGTAAGTATTCTATTTAGAATTATCATTTAGTCAAAATGAATGATTATTTAATTAATTCTATTTTTCTGTATGTTCTATTTTAAATTCAGCAAAACTTTTTATTGCTTAGAAACTAAATAGATTTTTAATAATGATAAAAAATAATCTGTGACCACATTTCTACCTTGGAATAGTAATTGATTATAGTGAATATATAAACGAAGTGATTGTATATCTTTGATTAATTTGTACCTCACTACCTTTATAAAGATATTTTTATAGTTCACAGAAATGAATAAAAGATCAAAGATCATTCTACGTATTGATCTAAAGAAAATTACTTACATTTTTCATTTAAATTCTATCATTATTTGCATAGAATCAACGTGAATAATACAAAAAAAAAAGAAATCACAATTGAATTTTTTTCAGTTACTAACGAATACTTAACAATTCGTTTGAATAAAACACAATTCTAAACTTACTAATTTTTAAACTTCTTCAAGTTATAACTACAAAAAAAACTAATCAACAACTGACAAGTTACAAGGATGTACATGTATCATAATAAATGTTTATATAAAATAGTTTGAATATAATTCATGTAAATACTTAAGACATGTAAACATTTCTTTAAAAAATATTATTTATTATTTAGATATCTGTTCTAAATGATGATGGTAATTCATATGGTAACATTGATCTTAAAAATATTTCTTATGAAGAAGATTTAGAATGGTATAGAATAGAATTGGTAGATTTACTTCAACCTTTTACTTATTATGAATTAACGTTTGGACAATTTCGTTCAGCTTTAAACGATGAATTGAAAGGTTGGTATTTGAGCAAGTATATAGAAAATGGAACATATAAGTAAGTTTTAATCAGAAATAATAACAGATTACTTTCAGTTAATTTGTTTTATACAAGTAGTATCAACGTTTCATTTTGTTAGAAAAATATATTTATAAAGAGAAAACGGACCACTATTTTCAGGAAAATAATTATTGCTTAATTCTTATACATGCTTTTTTGTAGCTGGTTACTTTAAATCGATTTTTGTAGCAAACTTATTACTTTCAGCTTTTTAGCAGAGTACAACATTGTTGTGGTTTGCTGATAGTAATGAGGTGTTTTATTGGAAAGTCATTAGATTTATAACGTTTTCTAGAAGTCTTATAGGCTATCGAACGATTTTGAAATCAAGACTTTACAAAAATGTCTTTGTTATGGTTTACAGGTTTTATAAAGATTAACTCCGATTCGCAGGAGTTTTCATTACTGCTTAGAATCAGTCAATATATTACTTAAAGGAAAACATATGATGTATAAATGGCGAAAGTACATCAGAAATATATGTTTGTTATTATTGTAATAACAAATAAATCGTCCCTGTTTAACTTGTATCTTTCAACAGTAACTGTTTGGTAAAACTACCCTAAAGAGGATCATTCGTCTATCCTACTGTATAATGTCCTTTTTTAATCTTCGATTCTCAAAATTCTAATTAATTAGTGTATCATACTCTAGATAAGATCATTGTTTGTGAATAATTAAATGCTGTGACTTTATGAAAGCGAATTTCTTTCAATAAAACAGTAATCGCAGTTCTTTTCGTATATGCTAGTTAGTGAAAGACTTAGAGAAAATGCAATTTCCCTATTTATCACAATTATTTGTATTCATTACTCTAAAGGAGTTTATATTATTAAGTGTAAGAACAGTCCACGGGTGAACTCGGGGAAGCTCTAAGAAGCTCAGAAAGAGCCGAAGATATTCCATAAAATCATCTTTTGGAAGAATATCCCAGAATCCCTACATGTAGCTTCCCTATTGGATAAATGCTAATGACCCCTTGTGTGCGGATCGGATAACTATAATGATGATTTCGTTTTTACTAAAAACTATAAATACTTGACAGTTTTGTACCATAATTGACACTGTTTGGAATGACATTCCTTTCACTTGTGTTCTGTCTTCTCATTTGCGACTTGAGAGGGTTCTGGCGTTCAAGTGTTCAAGTTATTCGTGGCACATCAAGATTTTAAGCATCTAGATATAACATTAAAGAATAATACTACATAATCATTTAATCGCATTTTGAATAGTTAGTAATGTTGGCATCATTAATGGTGTGATAAAAGAACTAGACAACATCACAATGTTAACAATAACGGCACTGATTTATGTTCTACAGCGGTGAACTGTTTAAAAATACAACCTACAATTAGAAATACACATAACAGACATCACTAGTTGACATTCATTATGTATAAGATAACGAAAGTAAACAATATTCTATTAATGTTTTAAGCTTAAGTAAAACTCCGCCTGGAGTCCCTTTCCGGGGGCTACTGCCGGTCCCAAGCCCGGATAAAGGAGGAGGGTTGGGCATGGGGTTAGCGACCCCATCCCGTAGAAAACTAACTCGCTAAAAAACGCTAACCAGAAAAAATTATTCAAACCATTTAAACTCTGCCCTGGGAGTCAGAAGGTCTTCGTTTAGAAAAATTATTATGACGCCTCATGATGAAAGCCGAGTTCCTTCGGGAGCAACGGGGTTGATACTCCTTGTGACAACCAGAGCAATCATTTATTTAGGTACATGGAATGCTCGTACAATGTGGAAGATTGAGAGAGTTTTCCAAATTGCTGCAAAAATGAGGAGATACAACCTAGAGGTGCTTGGGATCAGTGAAACACATTGGACGCAAGTTGGACAACAACGACTAGCTTCAGGGGAACTGCTGTTATACTCCGGACATGAACAAGAAAGTGCTCCACATACACAAGGAGTTGCATTGATGCTGTCCAAACAAGCACAAAATGCACTTATAGGATGGGAATCTCATGGACCAAGGATCATCAAAGCCTCCTTCAAAACAAAGAAAACGGGGATTACAATGAACGTCATCCAATGCTACGCGCCTACCAATGACTACGATGAAGACGCTAAAGATCAATTCTACGATAGGCTGCAGTCAATCGTCGAGAAGTGCCCAACAAAAGACCTGACTATTCTGATGGGAGACCTAAATGCCAAGGTTGGAATTGACAACACCGGATATGAAGAGATCATGGGACGACACGGACTGGGAGAAAGGAACGAAAATGGTGAGAGATTTGCAAATCTATGTGCCTTCAATAAACTGGTCATAGGCGGGACTATATTCCCACATAAACGCATACACAAAACCACATGGACTTCACCGGATCACACCACACAGAACCAAATCGACCATATCTGCATCAACAAAAAGTTCAGGAGGACGATGGAGGACGTGAGAACAAAGAGAGGAGCTGATATAGCATCAGATCATCACTTGCTGGTCGCCAAGATGAAATTGAAACTCAAGAGGCACTGGACAACGGGGCGGACAATATCACAAAAATTTAATACGTCTCTTCTTCGGGATAATGACAAACTCAATAAATTCAAGATAACCCTCAGCAATAAGTTCCAAGCCTTTCATGATCTACTCAATGGAGAAGGAACTACTATGGAGAGCAACTGGAACGAGATAAAAGAGGCAATCACTTCAACATGTCATGAGGTTCTGGGCCAAAAGAAGCACCATCACAAGGATTGGATCACGGTTAGTACACTGGATAAGATTCAAGAAAGGAGGAACAAGAAGACAGCAATCAATACCAGTCGAACAAGAGCAGAAAAAGTCAAGGCACAGGCTGAATACACAGAAGTAAACAAGCAAGTGAAAAGGAGCATCAGAACTGACAAACGTAAATATGTGGAAGATTTGGCAATGACGGCGGAAAAGGCTGCAAGAGAAGGAAACATGAGACAACTGTATGAAACAACAAAGAAACTCTCCGGAAATCACCGTAATCCAGAACGACCAGTGAAAAACAAGGAAGGCAAGATAATCACCAACATTGAAGAACAACGAAACAGGTGGGTAGAACACTTCAAAGAACTCTTGAATCGACCAGCCCCACTGAACCCACCCAACATCGAAGCAGCACTCACGGACCTCCCAATTGATGTTGGCGCACCGACAATTGAAGAAATCAGCATGGCTATCAGACAAATCAAGAGTGGCAAAGCAGCAGGACTAGACAGCATTCCAGCAGAGGCACTGAAAACAGACGTAGCGGCAACTGCAAGGATACTCCAAACTCTCTTCAAAAAGATCTGGGATGAGGAACAGGTACCAAAAGACTGGAAAGAAGGACTTCTAGTCAAAATACCAAAGAAAGGCGATCTCAGCAACTGTGACAACTACAGGGGAATCACTCTTCTTTCAATACCGGGAAAAGTCTTCAATAGAGTATTGTTAAACAGGATGAAGGACTCCGTAGACGCCCAACTTCGAGACCAACAGGCAGGATTCCGTAAGGATAGATCGTGCACAGACCAAATCGCAACTCTACGGATCATTGTGGAACAATCAATTGAATGGAATTCATCACTCTATATCAACTTCATCGACTACGAAAAAGCATTTGATAGCGTGGACAGAACAACCCTATGGAAGCTTCTTCGACACTACGGCGTGCCTCAGAAGATAGTCAATATCATACGGAATTCCTATGATGGATTAAACTGCAAAATCGTGCATGGAGGACAGTTGACAAAGTCGTTCGAAGTAAAGACCGGTGTCAGGCAAGGTTGCTTACTCTCACCCTTTCTCTTTCTCCTGGTGATCGACTGGATCATGAAGACATCAACATCTGAAGGGAAGCACGGGATACAGTGGATAGCTAGGATGCAATTGGATGATCTAGACTTTGCAGATGATCTGGCTCTTCTATCGCGTACACAACAACAAATGCAGGAGAAGACAACCAGTATAGCTGCAGCCTCAGCAGCAATAGGTCTCAATATACACAAAGGGAAAAGCAAGATTCTTCGATACAACACAGCATGCACCAATCCAATCACAATTGACGGAGAAGCTTTGGAAGATGTAAAAACCTTTACATATTTGGGCAGTATCATCGATGAACACGGTGGATCTGATGCAGATGTGAAGGCACGGATTGGCAAAGCAAGAGCAGCATATCTACAACTGAAGAATATCTGGAACTCAAAACAATTAGCAACCAACACCAAAGTCAGAATTTTCAATACAAATGTCAAGACAGTTCTACTGTATGGCGCGGAAACCTGGAAAACTACGAAATCCATCGTCCAAAAGATACAGGTGTTTATTAACAGTTGTCTACGCAAAATACTTCGGATCCGTTGGCCGGACACTATAAGCAACAACCTACTGTGGGAGAGAACAAATCAGATCCCAGTGGAGGAAGAAATCAGGAAGAAGCGCTGGAAGTGGATAGGACACACATTGAGGAAAGCACCGAACTGCGTCACAAGACAAGCCCTCATATGGAACCCTCAAGGTCGAAGGAGGAGAGGAAGACCAAAGAATACATTACGCCGAGAAATGGAGATAGATATGAGAAAAATGAACAAGAATTGGATGGAACTTGAAAAGAAGGCCCAGGACAGAGTGGGTTGGAGAATGCTGGTCGGCGGCCTATGCTCCATTGGGAGTAACAGGCGTAAGTAAGTAAGTAAGTAAGTAAAACTATAATAATTAATTTACTACAATTAGTCGAAAAAATGTCGTAAATCCACTTTGTAACTGGTTCATACATGTTTATGAAGTATATCACTTACTGTAACGAATCTCATTAGTTTCAGTTTACAACCTGAGAATCGTTCCTTGCAAAGTTAAATCAACAAGTGGAAAGTAAACTAAAAATTCATTTTAAATTTATTACACTCTATTGTTTTTCTTATTTATGATTCTTTCATTCTGTATGAATATGACTAATGACTAAATGAACCGATATTCAATTTTTTACGATTGGCATTCATTTAATTCAGTTTTTCTTATATATAAATTCATTTTCTGTTTTTTCTACAGATACCTTGCAACCAGTCAACTTCAACCAACTGATGCTAGACGTGTATTTCCTTGTTGGGATGAGCCTGGATTTAAAGCACAATTTCAGGTGTGAAATTTCTTAACATCCAGTACGCCCTAATTTCAATCATGTTTATTTAAACTTGCCCTGTTCAAAAACCAAAACTAATCCAACAATATTAATATAACATAATGATAAATAATTTGTTCGTAAACTGAATGACTGATAATCAAAAAATAGTTTTATCCCGACTAATCGAGTTCTAGAAATCTAAGACAAATAAATATATTTCTATTATAGAGATCCTATTCATATCATTGCATTTACTTAGATGATAAGTTAGTTTAACCTAATGTTGAGGTTTCAGGTCTTTTCCAATGTAAAATAAACTGATAACAAGATGAGTAAACTTGTGAAATAATAATTATAAATAAACTGAAAAACATTCATTTAGGTATTGTCCATTCTTTTATCATACATTTTTGAATATTTTGACTAACTAGATTGCATAACTTCTCAGAATAAATATAGGTGTCTACTAGTTTTGGTCTATTTTAAATATATGCATTAAAATACATGTAATAAGGAAATTCGATTAATATACATCATCTTGAGAAACATTGAACACTTAGGATTATCTCCATGGATTCTTGTCCTACTTATGATCAATTTTACTTGATACATAGATTAGCAATCCTTTACATGTTAGTGTCTCAGTAAGCTGATATTAGTTTCAGTTTGTTAGAAGGAGAGAAAATATTTAACTGCTTAACTGAGCATTTCATCCGACATAATATCACTTCAAATTCACTTGATATTGTTGACTTGAATCTTCCCATTGATGTTTAGCACTGTTATTGATCAGTCACTTATTGGCATATGAGCGTTCTGTGCGGACTGCCTCGATATTGCCTGAAGTCACAAGCTTTATAAGCAAAGATAGATAGTGACTAGGAGTGGAATCTAGGATGCGCGTTTTGTCGTCTTTTGATCTCGTCAGCCGGATATACATTCATCTCAGGGTTGATGTCCACTCCGAGACTCGAACCCAGTACCGTCCGTTTCAAAGATACAATCAAATAATACCAAATGAATTTACTTCTATTCTTTATTTCACTTAAGTATTTCCGATAAGGAATACAAATTTTTTGTAAACAAGTTCAATGACAATTTAAATATGTCAATTTGAATTGCTTTATTCATTTCTCTTTTTTTTACAAACCGTTTATTTTGTAAAGAAAAAAAAACAAATTTTTTAATTATTACCTTTATTTATTTATTTATTTATACAGGTTAGTCTGATACGTCAAAAGGATTATCATTCACTATCAAATATGGCTTTAGAAAGTACTGAAGAACTACATGATAATTGGTATCTTGATAAATATGAACCAAGTGTTAATATGTCAACATATTTATTAGCATTTGTTGTTTCACAATTTGCATCAATTCGTGGTATTGATTCTAAAGGAAGAAATGTATGTTAAAATTGAATAGAATTTATTTATTTAACTCATTTATAATTTAAAACAATTTCATTAAGATTTGATAATTTTTTTAAATTTCTATTTTTTATCCAGAAAGTTAAAAGAATTTGGGAAGAATGTTAATAACCTAGAAATTATTTACTTACTTAAGCATGTTACTCCCAATGGAGTATAGGCCGCCGACCAGCATTCTCCAACCCACTCTGTCCTGAGCCTTCTTTTCCAGTTCTGTCCTAAAACAAATAAAATTACATATATATATATATATATATATATATATATATATATATATATATATATATATATATATATAATAAAGTTTTGTATGAAAAAGATTAAGTATCCAATACGTAATCTCATGTTTATAGTTGACTTGAATAAAACTATGAAATAATGACGTTTGTTTTAGCAAACAGCTCTGTTTTGTATCATTACTATTATTCTCATTAATATCATTTTGAATATATTTACGATTGTATAGCTTTGAAAATGAATTCGTCGAAAATTGAACTCACCGCTGAATTAATATTTTTTTAATAGTTGAATTCATGAGTCATTTTAAAGCTAGACCACTATGGAAAACCTGGAAGCACTGAACAGAACTTCTCAGCAGTGCTCATCCATGATCCCGCTTTCAGGATTCGAACTCGCGGTCTTGCGCGCGAACACTTAACCTATAGACCACTAAGCCGGCGTTAATGTTTAACTTCAACTAATTCACGAAATCACACCACAGTACACCATTGTCTTTTGTGAGTTACTATCTCACAACAGGCCTGGTTGAACTCCACTGGTCAGTGCTTCACACTAGAACTCCAAGAAATATCTCTTGAAGTCAGTTATTAGTGAGTACATGATGATTATTATTAGGAGAGGGTTTTTTCCTCTTTCCAAATTTATTTCACTGTATTATGCTACTTAAATAACATCTTTAAACTCTAATCTTTCCTTTTACTGCCTATACTCTTACTACCTCTACCACTACGGAATTTGAATCGATAACTGCATCTCTGTGCTAATGTGGTATGGCAACTCGAACTGATGTACGTACGTACTTAGTTCTACGTTGTTACTGACTGACTGACTGACTGAGAAGAGGGTTTTGTGGAGAATTCAACTATTAAATTACTAAAATCGCCACAAAGCACTCTTCTAACAATATTTTTTAGTTTACATCTCAATGAGTATATTCCGTTTACATAAAGGTATTCAATTATCCTCAGGATTGATTTTACGTAGTATGATTCAACATTAATTCAAATATATCACTTTTCTAATTGAATTGATGAACTAAAACAAAAGTTTGGTTTTGTTGATCATGCTAGCAATGAGACTATAATTTATTGGATGATAACCTATGAGCGATGTCAAAGTGATCATGAAAAGTGTTTACCTACTTACTGAGGCTAAATGAAGGTTATAAAGCAGTTTGAAGAATAAGGATTATGATTTACAGTTGATTGATAGGGTTAGAAATCAGATTTACGATTTTTCATCACGAAATGACGTTAGCCAAACGGATGAGTGAATTTCGCATCAAAATCCAAGAACTCTTATCCTAAATCTGATTGATTCGTTCAAAAATTATGGTCTCTCCATGCTAAATTCGTACTCATAAGGAATCGAAGGTAAAGAAATCAATAGGATAACATGACTTCGTCAGGTTTTTCACCAGGAGTTTAGAATCTATAATAATTTAATGTCTGAAATTGCGATTTGCGTTTGATATACTTATAGGTATGTAGTTCTTCAAACTGTAAGCTGGGCAAAAATCAGCATACTATAGCGCTATATATAAATGTATGTATAATTTTAAAGGATGAATTTTGTTATGAAATGTAAACGACGCATAACGTTCTATAACTAAGTCATATCAGATCAGTAAAATCAAGAAAGTCTACTTAAGGTCAATAAAACGTAGATACTTAGAGAACAAGTATAAAACTAATAGATTAACATTGCATTAACGTGAACAAGGTAACTGATTTCTAAGGGACTTTGTTTGGTGAATAAAATATTAGGAATGAAAAGTTTGATAATATACAAAGTCGATTCAAGAATGAGGAAGCTTTTTAGTAAGAAAAAAATCAAAAACTCGAGATTGATGTAACGGGTTGATAAATGATTTGTTATTTTAAGGAACTGAAAATGAATAAATTTTATTGATTTATGATAGACCTTATAAATTACCCTAAAATTAGTTCGTGACATAGTCTGTCAATTGAATGTTTAATGATTTAAAAGCTAACCATTCACCCGTCATTATTTTCAAAACTAATATGTAACACACCTTTCCTTATATAGAACAAGTAAATATACTTTATACGTGATCCTAGTTTTACTTTTGCATTGAAATGGGTCGATTGATAGGTGCGTGTATAATTAGTCAGGTACATACATACAGAAATTAATTGAGAGTTTGTAGTACGTTTGAACATGACAATTCACATCAGAAGGTATCATGGTGTATGCTACTTATGTCTGTCGACATAAGTAGTGTGTAACACCAATCCTAAGTGGTAAACCTAGCATCAGAAGGCTGTGATGATTGAATCGAAGAAAATGGGAACAGAGAGTAATTATTATGGCAGTGAAGGAACGAAGTTTGAGACAATTGATGGAGGATTTTCAAATGAATTACTGTAGGTATGATTTTCATGTCTAATGAAAGAACTCTGTAATCTAGAATTACATTAAGTTTTCCCCACCTATGTTTTTGTTCATTACAGTTTTATTATTTAGTAAAACTTCTATGAATGAATTCACAGATTTTCATACTTTATATACATGAAAATTTCAGAATACTACCAATCAGTAGTATGTTTTATTCTAGAATTAGAAATAATGTATTTATTATATTTTGTCGTAAACATAAAATTGATTCACATTATAAAACGTTTACAATGTTTACTTCTATTAAGTAGTCATAGTAAAAACAAAGTTTCTTTCTATAAATTATATAACCTAATCTAACGCATTGAAAATACAATACAATTAAACAAATTGTAGTAAATAAATTACCATTGTGAATTTATAAATAAATAAACAAATGAATAAATAATCAATATCAGAAGGGTTTTTTTGGATATTATAGTAATTTCAATGGTTGAGATCATGAGTTAGTTGAAGCTAGACCACCATGGTTCGAATCTCGCAAGGGGGGCGGGATAGTGGATGCGCACTGCTGAGTCCTACAATAGGACGAAACGGCCATCCAGTGCTTCCAGGTTTTCTATGGTGGTCTAGCTTCAACTGACTCACGATCTCAACCACTGAAATAAATAATTGTTGCCTATTAATATTTATTGTGTTTCGTTCTGTTTGTGTAATTTTTTTAAAGAAAAATTGTTGTTAATTACACATTTGTTTTGTTGTTGTTTTTTCTTTCAAATATAAACAATAAAGTTTACTGTATGGACAAGATCAGATAAAATTAATTCAGCCAAGTATGCTTTAGAAACAGGGAAGAAAATCATTGGATTTTTTGAAGAATATTTTGAACTTCCTTATCCACTTAGAAAAACAGGTCAGTGTTTTGTAGTTTTATTCAGAATGGTGAAACATTTATATATATATATATATATATATATATATATATATATATATATATATATATATATATATATATATATATATATATATATATATATATATATAAGATCTGTTTGTGCTGTACAGTTTTAATCACATTGTGATAAAAATCAAGTGGTTAATACTAAAATCTTGATCAAAGAGTACCGGTTTTGTATAATTAAAAAGATTTATTGTTTTCATGAAGTAAGATATCTTTAAGTGGAGTTTTAACACAAGATAATTCAATCTAAATTCATTAATTTTAAATAGTACACTTCTAGTAAACTTCAGTGGCTAGAGTTTTAATATGCTAGTTTTTATGAGTGAAATCATAGTGTACGGTAGTTTAACTTCCCTGAGGTAGATAACTTTATTACATCATTTTGAAGTGAAGCATTTTTTTACCTTATTTATTTTTACATCTTCGTATTATCTCTATCTCATTTATAACATTAACGAAATCCTTTCTGTAGACGTTGGTTGAGCAATATCGAAGAAAACTAATTAAAAATGTTACTGAAAGAAGTTAAGGATAAAAGAGCCTATATTTCGCTTACTAAACGTCTACATAAATTATACTAGTAAATTTATCTTATTGATCTTTAATTATCAGATATGGTAGCGGTGCCTGATTTTGCTGCTGGAGCAATGGAGAATTGGGGTCTTATGATATATAGAGAAGCAACGATGTTATGGGATCCTGAATTTGGAACAGCAGCTACCCAACAAAAAGTGGCGACGGTTATTTCACATGAAGTCGCTCATCAGGTAATGTATGACCAATGAACAGAAATTTTAGTGTACTAATTAGAATAATTAATTTTAAAGGGAGTATAAGAAACTAAATAATATATTATGTATATTATGTAAAAAAATATACTGATAATTAATCAATGTTAATCTACGTTTTGTTAGAAAGATGTCTGTAAATTAGCTGAGTATTATTTTTGATAAACATATGCTTCATTCCAATACTACTACCCCTACAAAATATCTTTTACCTTGTACCCAGATGATGGATATACTTATTAAATAGTCTGTGTTTTATGCAGTCCGTTTGTAGATGAATAGTACCCTTGTATTATCATATGTTTCACTTCAAGTAAAAGCTTTGATGTCTAGAAATATATTTAACTAAAATATTTTTACTAGTTGAGTTACTTATATAAATAATGTGTTATTCTGATGTAGGTCATTTTGACAGCATTGTACCGACATTTAGTTTATATATTTATAACATGAAGAGTAATCCTAGTTATTTTAAGTAACTTTACAAAATGTACTTATCATCACTTTGATGTTTATACTGAGACGAACAAAACCAACAATTCAAACAAACAAAAAATTTCCTTGTTTCAGTAAATAAAGTAGATCAATGTCGTACTTATGAATAAAATAGTCAAATCTACAGAATTCTTATTAATAGAATGATTAATTAGATATTTCAAGACAGCTGTTAAATTATAGGATACGGATATACTTTTACATTTATAATTTTAGTGGTTTGGAAATTTAGTTACTTTAAATTGGTGGGACGACCTATGGTTAAATGAAGGTTTCGCAAGTTTCGCTGAATATATTGGAGTGGATCATGTTCATCCGGAGTGGGGAATGGTATGTTGTAATAGTTTTATACAGATTGATCATTGTTCAATAACTGCTCTCCTGTTCCTTAAGTCCTTGGTAAAAAAAGTATCGATCAGGAAATAAAATTTTAAAAAATATCAACCCGCGTATAATTGACATAGTTGATCTTTAGCCTTATACTTGAAAAAATATTATGTTCGGTGAAATGTAGCAAACCATTTTTCTATATCATTTTGATTTTTGCTACCTTCACCATTTTTATACTAACGAACAATCATTTAAATTTTATTACTATTTACTTACTAAGATATAAGTTTTAAAATTGTCAAATAAAAAAAGAAGTGATCTGTTAACATTTTTATTAGCAAGTTGTCGTATTAAGCCGACTGACGTAGTGAGACGTTACATGGCACATATTAAATTGTTATTATCTCTGAAGTGAGAAGTTGACTGAATTTAAACTTCACCTCATCGCACAAGCAGGTGGCTATTAGGAATCAGTAGCTAAGTGGATAACACGTTGGCATTTGAAACAGACGGTACTGGGTTCGAGTCTCGGAGTGGACATCAACCCTGAGATGAATGTATATCCGGCTGACGAGATCAAAAGACGACAAAACGCGCATCCTAGATTCCACTCCTAGTCACTATCTATCTTTGCTTATAAAGCTTGTGACTTCAGGCAATATCGAGGCAGTCCGCACAGAACGCTCATATGCCAATAAGTGACTGATCAATAACAGTGCTAAACATCAATGGGAAGATTCAAGTCAACAATATCAAGTGAATTTGAAGTGATATTATGTCGGATGAAATGCTCAGTTAAGCAGTTAAATATTTTCTCTCCTTCTAACAAACTGAAACTAATATCAGCTTACTGAGACACTAACATGTAAAGGATTGCTAATCTATGTATCAAGTAAAATTGATCATAAGTAGGACAAGAATCCATGGAGATAATCCTAAGTGTTCAATGTTTCTCAAGATGATGTATATTAATCGAATTTCCTTATTACATGTATTTTAATGCATATATTTAAAATAGACGAAGACTAGTAGACACCTATATTTATTCTGAGAAGTTATGCAATCTAGTTAGTCAAAATATTCAAAAATGTATGATAAAAGAATGGACAATACCTAAATGAATGTTTTTCAGTTTATTTAATCACATAATTAATAAGTGATTGCGATTTACTTTATATAAAACATAAAGGATGAACAATTTCTTCTGGATGATATACAGAAAGTGTTGATTAGTGATTCGTTAGCGACATCTCGGCCAGTCATACAACCTGTTTACTATCCAAATGAAATTAATGAAATTTTCGATCCAATTTCTTATAATAAGGCAAGTTTTTCTATATTTAAAAAAAAGAAAATTAGATTTTTAACCTTTCTGTGTTTTTCATACATTATTCATACTCGCAAAATAATCTAGTGGGTAATTTTTTATTTTTGTATGCTAAAATCTATTTTGTTACAGTGACTTGAAGTTTTCCGTTGTTGTAAAATTTGTTTACTGAAGTTCTTGTCTTAAATTTCTCACTATACAGGTAAGGAAACATCGATGCGTTGAAACATTGGAGAATCCTTGTAAGCTTGATGATAGTCTGTAAAATAACAAAGATATTTTCAAATATCGGGCAAACTTGAATTAATGACAATACAGAGATAGAAAAAATAGATGTTTGCCCACCTTCTTTATGAATAATAAAACCGTTATTACAGCTGGTTATGTGTCCATTTGATTACCATTAAAGCCTATTTTATTAAATGTTTTTTATGAATAACATAGAAGAGAAAAATTGAAATTTAAAATCAGAAAACATACTACTCCATACTCTAGATGCATCCATAGATTTACATGTACATGTAGTGGAAAGTAAACAGAAACTAGTGGAAGAAAGGTTTCCACTACGTTATTCGAACATTTTCTCAGAATATCATGTCTGGAAGGAATCAAGGTCTTCACAAGTGCAATCGGCGACTACCTAATAAGTAATGAATATAACTGTAGTGTCTGGTGTTATATAAGGCTCTTATGAGTTACTTTAGCTTCCGAACAGAACAATGTATTTATTTTTCATCAGTTACATTTTGACCTTGTCGATTATTCGTTTAGTAAATTTAACTTTTGAATGCGAGTGTATGTGTGTGTGATCGCTTAATCTATTCATCACGTCTTTAGCTTATTTTTATCAGACTACAAAATTGAGTCACGCTTGATCAAATCAGATTGACACGTTTGCCTTCTCCGGCCTATTTCTTTGCTTCGTTTCTCTGATTGTCTGTCTGGATCAACGAGTGTATGAATTTACGTACCCAGAATTCATCCCCTAATTTACTTATTTTATTCTGTAGTTCATAGGGCGAATTAAATCGATAATTACATACGAGGGTAGCAGAAATGTATATTTCGTTGACATCATCGTTCGATCAAGTTGGAGTGAGATCAGAGGGCCACTAAAAATTTGTATATTTCGGAAGCATTCGAATATATTGATAATTAGATAACGTCCACTTAACCCGTTTTTATAAAGCTACTATAAACTTTGCAGACCTGACCTCTGTGTATGTAAGAAAAATGTGGAAAACCTCTCCTTGTAATGGTTAATAGAATTTTAATAAGTTTTTCTGTTACATAATATTATTGATTTTCAGCTATTCGTTTGATTTTAAATTTATCTATAACAATTCATTGTGCAATCATTTCTTTATTTCCAACTTCACCATGTTATGCTCTGTTCTATTTTATCATAATCATTGATAAATACGTCTACTTTAAATGACTACCTGTTTTGTTTTATGTCAATATATAAAGAGGCTTCACTTAAACTAATTTAATACCATATCTTGTGCCTTTCTCAACTGATTAGAATTTTAAATTTATTACTAAACACCCATCTCAGTTTTATTTTACGTAGATATGTAAAACTATGTTCATTATAACATTATCGATGGTAACTGAGAAGGCTTGAAGTGAATTCATTTATTCTTCAAATCATGTTGTTTTTACTTTAATTAAAATTATCAACGGTTCAAATTGTATTATTATATTCAAAAGTTCAATGTAAATAAAGCATTCATGCATTTAACTAAAAGGCTGAAGCTGGAATTATTTGTAGAATGTGAGTTAGGTGTAGGAGCGAACCAATTAAATGCCTTAAATCTAGATTATAGTCTATTTGGGACTCGTCCTTATACTGTATCTAAAATCTTGATGGAAATGATACTTCAATCGAGATCCAAATCCTCATCACTTAGTATCACTGACACCTTGTTTATTAATATCAGTTTACAGGTAACGCTAGAACTGGTCACTAATTCTATTAGCTGTCATCTCAATATACTGCACGCATTATTGAGTTCCTTTAGGCTAGTGGCCACATCGTCAATCAGTGATCAGCTGATATGATTCCGTCTGTACATAGTTGCTTTTAAGGACTTTGGAAAACAAATACGTTTCTAAGAAGCTTCTCTCGAAAGTAGTGTGTAGATATTAAGATACGGCATTTAAATGATATGTAGAAAATGGTATAGATAATTTATATTATTGCTTATTCTCCTTCAACTGAGATAATAAACGGACTATTTTTAAATATATACATCTTTCCTAAAAATCACTTGCTGTTGACATAATTCTATCATATCTTATAACAACTGTAACATAGTTGTTACTCTGTATATAATTTGTAATTGGTTATCATTCACGTGTTATGCTATTTTTCAGGGTGCGTCCGTTTTGAGAATGATGGAGTCATTTATGGGTCGAAACACATTTCGTGCAGGTGTAAAGGTATGTTGAAGTTAATTAACAATCCTCATTTAGTTTTCTTTTTAAAGTTCATTTTATTATAGCATTATATGACACTTTAATGATTGTATTTAAACAAACAGTAATACATCTATTTTAAAGAATTAAGAGCAATCGAGTAAATATTTTTTCGTTATATTATTAATAACCTTTCAATTACAAATATTTTTGTGATAATTAGAAGTATTTGAATTATTATACGAACAAGGAATCCCAGAAATAACGCAATCTAGACCAAAGAGAACAAACGTATTATATTTAGAATTCTAAATTAGGCGGGCATTAAGTACAAATAAATAATTAGTTCATATAAACGCCATAATACTTTAAGGTATTATAGTTTACAATTGATTGACCATTGGTTGGTGATCCATGTCATATATGTCAGATCCTTCTTAGCGCAGATCGACCAAGTTGCAATGTGAACACCAGTCTAGGTAACTCTACATTTCATGTAACCCACAGGGTTTCCTGTTGACTACCTCTAACCATCATCTTAATGTATGACAGTGAACTACTTATACTTTTTCATTTCATTTGTATAAGTCATATATGAACATTTGTTTACCCGAAAGTGTATCAAGATGAAAATTTGTTCTAATTTCAGTTTCAATAAAACATTGTAATGATTTTCATAAATTTAATCTTCTAGGTGTTAATTCTTTCCGTATACGTTATGATATAGTACTAACAAATTTGCTAACAAGACCCATTGATGTAAAGGAAATGTTCTTCGGAAAAGATCATTTCACTAAATAATCAATTCTTTCTTTTTATAACCACCAATAGTTGTCGATAGTAGTCGAAAATTTCAAAGAAATGGTTTTAAGCTAAATGTGTACTGTATTTCAAAAATTATGTTTGTTTTTTTTGTATTCAGTAAATTCTTGGGTAAAATAAGATTTATCTGCAGGTGCTACTTATCCTTTTATCAGTAAAAGAAAAAAGATAGCAATAATAGCCAGTTATTATTAAATTACCCACTTAATACCTGCTTTAATTTAACAAAATGTAACAGTGATGTAATTAGAATAATAAAATTCTAAGTTCTAATAGCATAGGGAGTTTGTGGATATCGTTCATTTTTGTGGATTCATACTATTCTCTGACTATATCTAGATAACAATCGTAAACCTCGAAACACTAGAAACCTGCTTTGTTTGAACATGTGAACCATCACAACTCTCCTTCTTGAGATTAAATGATCAGACATCGGAACCCAATATGATTGCCTGGAAACCTCAACATTATCGACCAGGTTGAATTTCAGTGATCACAGAAACTTACTAAAACTCTGGAAATTAACTCTCGAAATTCATTAGTGGTAAACATATGTTTATTCTTAGTATAGAGGCTTTATACTGTTGTGGAGTTCCATAGTACTTAGAAATAGCTATTCGATCCTGCAAGTATTTTGTGATTTGAATTAAGAAATAATGTATTTATCTTAATGAGTAGTAGATTGAGTTTTGAATGCTTCTCAACTTAGAACAAATCACTTCAGAGATAAACCAACTTAAATGAACTAACTTTGAACAGGATAGGGGAATAAATCATATATTTAGCGAGAACAAGTTTTGGTTGAACAAAAAGGAAAAAAAGCAAGTTGTTAAGTTTATGCTAAAGTCTCACCAATGCTTATTTACTTTCTGGAGTATTTAATAGCAAATAAATGTCCAATATACATCCCGTCAAACCGTCCTAGGCAGAATTTAATAAGTAAACAATACTGTTAGGAAATATCGATGTTCACTACAAAGATCATCAGTTTCACATCCAAGTATTCAGTACAACTCAAAAATGGTATAAAGTCTAGCCATAGTGAAAATGTTTTAAATCAGGTAAATATATACTTACAAAAGTTAAGAATCCATATTCTCACTTGAAGAAGGAATCAGTTTATCATTTATAACTGTTAACATATGAAATTCAAAAGTAGTAATTTTTAACTATATAAAAGCTACGTCACAGAAATTGAGAAGTTTGTACTAACTTACATAGAATTTACTGAAAAAAACGACCATCTTATTTTCGTTACATCTTTAAAAAAGAACACTAAGATATAATACACATACTCTTAGAAATACATTGATTTTGTCAATGACTTATGCATTCTGTTTTCAAGGATAAATGGAATACATAATTGAAAAACACAGATCATATGTAATGTATCTGACAGTGAGGTATACATAGACGAAAATTCTATGTTTTCATAGTCGAATCAGACTGTCATAAAATAACTGTTACAAATGAACACAAACGTTTCAGACTATATAAGGGTTTGTAATACATTTTGATCTGTTTTATTGTTTTATAATAGATCATAAACAGTTATACTTTCATTGATAAAATTCCTTATTATATTTGAACACTAACACTGAATAGTCCTTATCAAATCTTTGATTATTTCATTTTGATAATAAAAAATATTTTTCGAAATTCCACTCATTTTTCCTGTATTTCTCATCTAAATATAGGATCAACAAATTCACAATTTCATACAAACTGTAAACTAAAATAAAAGGGTATTTAACGAAAAATCAGATCTCTTATCAGAAATTTTTTCGATGGAAATCTTTGAAACCAATTACCAGATATGTGTGATCAATTCACCGCGAATTGAAAAACCATTCTACTGCTGCTGCTGCTGATGTCGATGATGATGATGATGATGACGATGATGATCAACTCATCAATTATTACTCAGACATTAGTCGTTCGACAGAAATTAAAATGAAGTGTATTGCTATTAATAAAACTCTGTTGAATATAGTTCGTTTAGAAGTTGCGTCTGATATAACTGATATAACAATTAACAATACATGAAGTACTTGAAACTGTAAATAAATTACGGTGAAAATATGAAACTTCCTAACTAGAAAATGTATTTAACGTCGCTAGATTAAACTAAAGACGCAACTTCTAAACGAACTATATTCAACAGAGTTTTATTAATAGCAATACACTTCATTTTAATTTCTGTCGAACGACTAATGTCTGAGTAATAATTGATGAGTCGATCATCATCGTCATCATCATCATCATCATCATCGACATCAGCAGCAGCAGCAGTAGAATGGTTTTTCAATTCGCGGTGAATTGATCACACATATCTGGTAATTGGTTTCAAAGATTTCCATCGAAAAAATTTCTGATAAGAGATCTGATTTTTCGTTAAATACCCTTTTATTTTAGTTTACAGTTTGTATGAAATTGTGAATTTGTTGGTCGTATATTTAGATGAGAAATACTGAAAAGTGAACGGGACTTTTGCATATATATATATATATATATATATATATATATATATATATATATATATATATATATGGTGTATTTATGATGATCGTCTTTATGACAATATTTTTATTACAGAATTATCTATATCAAAACAAATATAAAAATACTGTTCATGAAGATTTATGGAGGGCTCTCACTGAGGTATGTCATTGATTTTATTCGCTATGGAACTTATTCTTTGACCTAATAATTTGATTGATAATTTTTTTATCTTGTTGGATCACTTATATTAGCTACTTATAACAACTGAAATCTGATATTCCTTGTTGAGTTGTTTTACAATCTATTGTGTGCAAAAATTGTGGTAATGATTTTGATACAATATGGCATACTTTTAATATGATAGTATACTTTATTTTCTTGTTGTGTATTACCAATTAATAAAAAGAAGTATGTTTCCTAAGTGATATTATACTTATTCAGCTTAAATTAAGTCACATATACCAGTTTTATGATAATATCTTCTGTGTTATGTATACGGAAATTAGATTGGATGCGATAATATAATTTACAATCAATTGAGGTTCATTTAGATACTAACTGATTTCTATTCGGGTTAACACCTTCACCTTGTTAATTTGATTTATGCAAATCACCATTCACAATTATTATTCATACCGTTGATGGTTCTGATATATAATTGGTGATAATTAAATTTACATCTTATTGTACTTAATAGTTTAAAAACTAAGAAAAAAAAGACGATACCTAAACAGACTCACACTTGAGGTCATTGAAAACGAGTAATGCTGGGGATTGTAATTTATTTTAATGTATAATATACGTGTAAATATGTAATGGTAAGCCATAGTTCTTGTAGAACTTTCTTATGGAGATTAAACGATTACGAAATTTTCCAGGCAGGTAATGAGTGGGTATGTGATAATCATAATAAATAAAAGTGAAAGCATATTGAAAATTAAGCGTATTTAGAAAATGCTGATCATTTGAATGAGCAGTGATGGTTGATAGTCTGAAATATAAAACCAAAAAGAATTTATAAGCATGCATTGTTGAGAAATTCCAGCAGCATATTTACAGCTGATGAACATCTGGAACTCAAAACAACTGTCAATCAATACCATGGTCACAATTTTCAATACAAATGTTAAGACAGTTCTACTGTATGGGGTGGGAACCTGGAGAACCACTAAAGCCATCATCAAGAAGATACAAGTGTTTATTAACGGTTGCCTACGAAAAATACTTTGGATCCGTTGGCCAGACACTATCAGGAACAACCTACTGTGGGAGAGAACAAACCAGATCCCACTGGAGGAAGAAATCAGGAAGAAGCGCTGGAAGTGGATAGGACACACATTGAGGAAAGCACCGAACTGTGTCACATGTGAAGCCTTTACATGGAATCCTCAAGGCCGAAGGGAAAGAGGAAGATCGAAGAACACATTACGTCGAGAAATGGAGACAAACATGGGAAGAATGAGCAAAAATTGGATAGAACTGGAAAGGAAGGCCCAGGACGGAGTTTGTTGGATAATGCTGGGAGTAACAAGCGTAAGTAAGTAAGTAATTATTGAAAGGTTCACTGTTAGATCAACCGAACTACCTAATTATCTGTGTTTTTCTGACTATTATGAGTTAATCAAACACGGGAATTATCAGTTCAATATTTAAATTATTAAATGAAATAGTACATATTTTTTTCATGGTGAATGGTTTGCATCTTCTTAAAAAACTACTGATCAATATCAATTGTGTAGTTAACTTGAATTTCATTGAGTATTGAAGCTACACTAGGTAGTACAATTATCATTCGGGGTTGGGAATAAATATGTGTTTATACTAGAATTTAATTACATAGTATATTATTTATAAAAAAAACTATGTTTCATGTAATTTTAAGAATTGAAATTCAAATAATTTCATTATTTCGTTCAGCATTGTTAACTGAAATTTTTTAGGGTAATAAACAAAATTAAAATTTCAATAGTTGAGATCATGAGTCAATTAAAGCTAGACCACCATGGGATACCTGGAATCACTGGACAGCCCTTTCGTTCTATTTTGGGACTTCTCAGCAGTGCGCAGTGACCAGTAGAGTTCAACCAGATCTATTGTGAGGTAGTAACTCACTGAAGACAATGATAGATGTGTCGCTCAAATCCATCGATTTGTTGAAGTTAGACATTAACACCATTGGATGCCGGCTCAATGGTCTAGAGGTTAAGCATTCGCGCGAGACCGATGGGTTCTGGGTTCCAATCTCGCGAGGCGAGCTCATGGGTGTGCGCCGCTGAGGAGTCCTACAATAGGATAAAACGGCCTTGGAGTACTTCCAGGTTTTCCTTGGTGGTCTAGCTTCAATTGACTCCTGATCACAATCATTAAACTTAGAATGATCAAAAAATATATAATGTATAATAATCAGATCTATATTGAAAACGTATTCAGATGTCAATTTTTTTAATTAGAAAAGTATGAGTCGATAAAATGTGAACAAAGTGAGAAGAATGTATGTATACTTATATGTTATTAGTAGTCAAAATTTGGAGAATAAATACAATCTCCTTCCGTCATTAAAGATATTGTATCATAACAATGCAGAAATATTACAGAAATATTTATTTCAATTTCAGGCAGCAAAACGTGCAGGTAAAGATGTGAATGTTAAAGCTGTAATGGATACATGGATGAAACAGATGAATTACCCATTAGTAATCATTCAAAGAAATGCTGATGGCCAATTTCAATTTGTACAAAAACATTACTTAGAGCCACAGGATGCTAAATCGCCGAAAAATCCCTCACCCTACAAGTAGGTTCAATAATTTCATGTATTCTAACTACTGTTTTATCAACTAAAGGATATTTGTGTCTTAAGCCCGATTTGAACCATCCTGTTATATTTTACCTGCCAGTGAATCATTATACAGAATTTTTTTAAACAATCAATCACACGATGGATAGTATTCAACTTTGTGGAACTAGTGTTTTACGGATTGTTTATTGTTTGAATGCTGTTAATCCTGTATAACTAACACTAGTCACTTGTGACACTGATCACCTTAATATTATTTTATTATGTGATTGATTAGTAAGTTTTGTTGCCAGGGAACACATTGCTAAATTTCATAAACCTGCATTTTTTAATATTTATTGTTATATTCATTTATCTTAAGATACTTTGTACAGGTTTTTTCTTCTCCGAATCGGATTAGATTTTACTCAAAGAAACAATCACTTGTGATTCATTAGTTGTTTAGTCCGTTTAATTAATCGGTTTTCAATTTTACATGATAATGTGATTTATACTATTAGTCATTTTTATTATGTAGATTATGTTTATTAGAGCATTAGTTATTTTAACCACAATGCATTTTCTTAGTGTTATAATGAGTAATAAATCTCCAGTTTTTTATTTCAATCGATAGCTTCATTTATGCAAACGACTAGAATGTAATTGTATCTTTTCAAGTATTACCCAATTTACGCTGACTTGTTATTACACCAATAATAATAATAATAATAATAATAATAATAATAATAATAATAATAGTGAAACACAAAGTTGCTTTAAATGTAATGTTTTTACCTGTATTCAGTTAGGAGAGTTAGTATTGTCAACGTAAGAGTTGGTGTTCACTATCTTTCTTTAATATATTATTTGTTAACTTGGATTTTTCAGATACTCCATGTGTTACCAACCATTCCTTACTACTATTCATTAATCTAACATTTAAAAACTAAGTCAAGTTTTATTACACATTGAAAAAGTCAGCATAATTTTGTACTGAGAATTACTTGTTACATTGCCTATATATCCATAATAAATACACTGTTTATTCGGAGATTTGATAAAACCAATAGCATTCAGTAGAAAATGATTTTAGCTAATTCAGTCGCTTAATCCATATTTAAGCCTACTAAACGCAATGTTAAAACCGTTTTGGATAAAGAAGTTGAACTAATAGACTTTCAGCTTGTTAGATCTGTTTAACTGATTAAGGTATTAAATGACTGTTTAGTTTCATTAAAGTTTGTTTACACGTGTACTAAATAAATGAGGATTATTATAGAATATCAAGAAGTTCTACTGGAAACGTTTCTTTAAATGAAATAGTTATGAATATTGTAAACAATATTTAACATGTTTTCGTAATACAATCAACTATTTTTATACATGAATCTATATTCTTGAACCTAGAATGTCATTCGAACTGCAGAACATATTTTCAATAATATTATAATCGAAATAGATGGTATATATCTAAATTGAACGAGTAAATAAAAACATTATTTTATAAGCAAGAATAGACTACAATGTGCTTTAAACTGATGTTAGAAACTTGAAGATTTGATATTATATTATATGTCTGAACATGTGGCAGTATATAACATAAGACGCAAAACAGTACTTTAAGTTTATATATGCGTATATATATATATATATATATATATATATATATATATATATATATGCATTACTAAACATAAGTACATTCATAGTAAACTCATATGCTGTATGTGATTAAGGAGTGCTAAATTTCAAATGTTCATAGACATATTATATCTTTGTAGTAGATTCAGTAGGTTAATGATTTTTTTCAATCCTAATAATCATATCAGGTGTACAGTAGACCCTTTAATAGTAGAATAATTAAATTTGTTTGAAATTACATCTAAATATCACAAGAACATTGGGATAATTTGTTTAATTTCTACTTTTGTATAATGAATGAATCTACTCATATATAGAAAGCTATGAAAAAAGTTTTCATGATTCAAATAAGTATTACATATTGCCTATCTAAATAAATGAAGTATAATAATCTGTCATATGATTATGTTGTAAACTAGTTTTATTGTATTTCTTAATTAGAATGATTTGAAAGTTTTAAATGATTTCTTATGTTATTCTAATTTGAGGTGAATTGTATGTTTAGAAATGATGGATTGTGGCTAAAAGTGAAATCTAGCATGCACCCCTCGTCCTATTTGGGATTCATCAGCTAAATTCCATTTTTAGCCCAATCTATTTATTTTAAATAACTTTTGATATAATGACTATATCAACGAAATGTTTACAGGATGCACATATGTGAACGAAGATTAATAAAAATGTATACTCGGGATATTTCAAACCTTTACTAATGATGATATATATAGTATATGTATGTACGTACACGAGTATCATTAAATAAATTACACGTAATAATTTGAAAACTATCGAATGGCTGATACGAAGTCTGAAGTCAGAGTTTTATCTGGCTTCTGTTTATTGTCAACGTACTTAATATTCAGTACTATTAACCTGATTTAATAGCCTGCAAGTGGTTAATTGAGTAATTTTCGGAGTAAAACGTATCATGACTACAAAATTTTTTATTCTTTAATTTAGTGGTTTTGTAGTGAACAAAGATCCAGGTGGGGTAGATCATTTTATAATTCAATACATAATTACAAAATGTCTTGGTAAAGTATGAAAACCATTCATCAAACACATAGTTTACACATCTTCCATTAGTTGTCCTTTACATGCTTCATGAATCTTTCAATTCTGTGGTTATTATATTTACGTTCTATTTTCTTTTCTGTTTTCTTCAATTGAATCTCCTCAGTCTTCTGCCGGCATGCATTCCAATTCCAATTGGTGCTACATGCTACTTATATAAATAAGTAGTATACACCACAGTTTAGTCTATCTATCTATACATCTATAAAGCACTCATAGTAATGATTTAGAAAAAAATACTTATGTAAAATTAAGTTATGTTAATTGATCTTCTTACTTTTAGCTTTACTTGGAAAATACCATTGACTTATGGATCAGCAAAGACTATTAACTGGGATGAAGCAGATGTCATTTGGATGATGAACAGCAAGTCATTGTTTTCTTTACTTCGTTTTTATATATTTACTAATTATAATTACTAATTGATAATTATACTGTTGTAATATATCCTAATGAATGAATATGAGTAAGTGGAATAACCTTGGAGGTTAAATATTGTAAATTAGATGATCAGAAATATCGATCATAGTAATATAATGAATATTTCTAGAATTTTGATCATGAATCATAACTATGACAAATAGCAGGTTCACAAAAACGTTTCGTGACTTAGTGTAAGCCACTTCAGAAAATAAATATATAGTAAAATTGTATTACTTCTAAACTAGTTAGATATATTGTTAATGTAAGTGATGTTGCCATTTTTTTTACATAAAGAAAGCATATACTCAAACCAATCAATAGTGATCACTAAGTAAGATCTCTAAACTAAATATTATGATTGAACTATTTCAATAAAAAGATGTTTTGAGTATAGTAGCAATTTTTTATGTCCAGTAAGATGAGTGAGTTTTCTTTGCTTTATTCAGGAATTAATAATCTAAATCTTTATATTGGAGGTATAGATATTCGATGAAGTATAAATTTTTATTATGTATTTTACATACACTGCCATTATATATTCTATTGTAATATGAGGATTAGATATTGAAAATCAAATTTCGGATAAATTTTTGGAATGAGCGAACAACATTGGTTGAAAACACAATAATGTGGACGAAGAATATTCGTATCGATAATTTCTCATCAGGCTCTACAATTGTAAAGCCAAATTAATAATCCATAAAATTGACCAGATTTAAGACAGAGTACATCATTTAAAATCAAACCATGTAAATTAAAGATTGTTTGGAATAGAAAATCAATTCAGATCGTTAATGTAGGGGCTGACTAGTACAAAGTGTTAACTTGAATCAGTTTATAAGTGAAATGAAATTGTGCGATAAATGATCAGAATAAATGTGGTCAACATGGGGTGAGCGAGAAAATAATGAAATAAAAATCTGAAATTGCGTAATATGTAGAATAGTATGAATTAGGCACGAATTAGGGGGGAGTGATGGATGCTAAATCAGTTTTCCTCAAATGTTATCAAGTGTAATAATAATAATCACATTCATAAAGATAATAATAATAAGTTAAGTTTGGGCCATAAAAATGAACACTAATCAAATTACCTCACCATATTATAAAACTGATTATTAACTAGTTGATAACCCTTTTGAGGAATTTATTCAGCATCCACCCCTATCTACTATATCTGACCCAATTCATATTATTCTACATATTACTTAACTTCTCACTTTTATTTCATTATTTTCTCGCACACCCCATGTTGACCATATTTATTCTGACCATTTATCTCACAATTTCATTTCACTTATAAGCTGATTCAAGTCAACAACTTCATATTAGTCATCCCATCATTAACGATTTGATTTTATATGACAAACAATTCTTGATTCACATGTTACAATTTTAAATGATGTACTCTGTCTTAAATCTGGCCAATTTTATGGACTATTAATTTGGATTTATAATTGTAGAACCTGATAAGAAATTATTGATAAGAATATTCTTCGTTCATATAATATAATGGGAATTTTTCAGCGATTGTTGAAAAATTATCGGACATGAAAAAGGTAGGCGGAATATTGTTAGTAGTCGTGTGATTTTTAATACCATCAGTCAGTCAATCAATAACAACGTAGAAATTTGTACCTAAGTACATCAGTACAAGTTACCATACAACATTAGCACAGAGATACTATTATCGATTCAAATCCCATAGTGGTACAGGTAGCAAAAGTATAAGCAGTAATCGGAAAGATTAGGGTTTGAAGACGCTATTCAAGGAGTACAATCCAGTGAAATAAGTTTGGAAGGAGATAAAAACAGGGACACGAAGAATTCCGAAGATGAGAATTTGGAAGAACACAAACAGTGGATGCACCTGCGTCATTGTAAACGATTTTGAGCCATGACATTCAAGGCCTCTAACCATTGGTTGCTATCGTCTCGCGTATCCCAACCAGGTAGTCTACATCTACCAACATGGATCAGTCCACTTGTTAGTAACTTCTTGGATTTGTGCCATGTTTTGGTCTGGCCTCCCCTAGCTTTCTTCCAATCTACTCCCACACCATGAAACATCGCACGTCGGGGCAGTCGGTGGTTGGGCATGTGTAGCACGTATCCCAGCAATCTCAACTGATGAAGTCTCACTACTTTGTCAATTGATTTACCATGCTTACCTACTACCCGTCTCCTAACAACTGCATTACTTACTTGACTTTCCGTACACTGATGATAATACATTAATCTCTTTTCCTTCTGATGCGATGATGTTTAGTTATGAATACATACATTCAGTAATTTCATAGTATTTCCACAAATATCTACTTTAATTTCAACAGAGACAATGACCCAAACACTAGATGTTGCAGAAAACTCTTGGTATTTATTCAACATTAAACAAGCTGGGTTTTATCGTGTTCATTATGCTGACAATAACTGGGAACTATTGACAGAACAGTTGTATAAAGACCACCGTGTAAGTAGTAACTTTTATTTGAAAAATTCTGGAGATTAATCCTTTCCAAAGTCTATGCAAAGATAATTACTTTGATAAACTAGCGTATGACTGTGAATTATCTATTAATATTTAATCCAACTGAGCTTATATAGACGTCACAATAATTATACTGATTAAGACTTCATATTTAAGAAAATATCTGAAGAAAGCTTTCTTACTCAACTATACTAATGAATTTTGTTAAACATTTCTAATGGATGGTAACATTTTATTTATAGCAAAGTAATATTTGAAATCGTTTTAGCCACACAGTGAACAATTATATCTATTTTTATTGAGATCGTGAATCGATCAAAGTTAGACCATCATCGAAAACCTGAAAACACTTGACTACCGTTTCTTCCAAGTATTGGACTCCTCAGTAGTCCACATGTACCATCCCTCACGCGGGACACGAATCCAGAATCTATATTCTCGCGCGAATGCTTAACCTATAGACCACTAAGTTGCCATCCAACAGTGTTAATATCTAACTTGAACCAATTCACATTAGCATCAACTGATTCATGGTCACCATAAAAATTGAACAATCTCCACAACTTTACTGATCACTTTGAATATCTGTATTTACTAAATAAAGAAATTAATTGATTCGATATTTTCTGTGATTAGGCTATTCCACTTCATTCACGAACACAAATTTTGGATGACTTATTCAACTTAGCAAAGTAAGTGTACTTACCTGTATTTATTGTTTGACATAATATCATATGATATGCATTCGACTGCAATTAAAATTTTATTATTTATATATTTAAATGAAAAGTTTCTTGTTACATGGTCTTTGAAGCTATAAATCTATTAAAAGTTTTATTGTGTTGGCCAGGAACTTATAGTATATACATTAAAGTTAAGTAGTTTCTGAATTCGAAAGGTGTGAAATATAAATAAAAGATAATACTAACATAAGGAATGTTTGAGAATATATTTTCAGCAACGTTCTCTGTAACTATAAATATTGTATTGTACTTGTCGTTATTAACTTAACAATAAGTTTTAACTGAATTAATATGATACATTAAAAACAATAGATATCTTACTCGAATCTCTACAAGATCATTTTTCATAATAATATTTGAGAGAAATTCTATAAGGTGATGATTAAAATAATATGATCATTATACAAAAATGGAAAGTCTATCGGAGCTGTTTTGATAATAACAATAATTGTATAATGTTAAATTAAAATTTTTCATCAGAAGGAACAGCTAGGATTAATATAATATGATGAGTTCGTATTACGCAAGTAAACTAAAGTGTTTAGATTAGGTATACTTTTACAGTGAGAAAAGTGCCTCAACGATAAGAGGTGTGAAAAGGTGACTGTCACTGTCTAATGTACGAGAAATGATGGTGGCTATATTTGTTGAATATACATATAACAAGGTTAAGAAGATTTACTAAACTCTATTTGTGTATAGTCGACCAACTTGCACATCATTTACAAATGTCCAATGATCGCTTGTGTTTTCAATGTAGTGACATAAAACAATTCTTTTGTTTATTTATCACTATTGTGTAATTTATCCACTGTGAATCACATTGTTGCTGCCTTGTAAAACCTTGATACAAATCATACTTTACATCATAAAACTAACAGCTAACACTTATCAACGTTGGGTGATTCTTCTCATTCAATGATTGAAAATTATTTTTCATTGCTTTTTAAATGAAGATTTTATATTCTTAGCAATTTCTGTAAAAGTTACAAGTTCATTAACAGTTACGTTGAAACTGTTTTTGTTTTGTTGAAGTTACTTATGGTTCAGCATGATACCTGTTAAATCTCTACAATAATAAACCAAACTAACCAGGTTATAGTCATATATAAGGAGTAAACTTGTTTTTTTTCCCAGTTAAGTCGTAAATAATATCATATCACAATAATATCATAACAAAAATGTAACGACCACTTTCAATCAGAATTAATCGTTAATAAAATGACGATCAATAGACATTCGTAGAAACCATCCTGATAGTAACTAAAATCCACATGTGTGCGAAATGTACTTCTATACGTGTTAAACTATATGACATAATTAAACTGCACTGAGTTGATCTAAACAGGGAAACTTATTTGACGTCTAGTAAGAATTAATTAATTGATTGAAAAAAATTTAATTAGTGATTGTAGGAGTTTTACTAATGAATGACCTAACAAAGATTTATATTACGTATTTCGTTTGCAAGTGCGCCATCAGAACAAAATTTCATTCAATTATACTTCAAGTATGTAAATTTACCATGTATGCGATTTTTTTGAAATCTACCTTTTCTCATTATTAAATATTTAAAGTCGGGCTACCGTATCATACGATGTCTACTTAAATCTGACAAAATATTTGAAAAAAGAAGATCAGTATGTTGTATGGGAGACGACTCGGCGAGCACTTTCTTATTTAGACCGTATGCTCGCCATGGACGAGAGTTATGGAGCTTTTCAAGCATATTTGCGTACGCTTGTAGATGGTCCTCTTAAATCAGTGGATTGGACAACAATGAAAGAAGATAAAGATCATATGAAGCAGTAGGTTACGGAAATGTTTTTAAACTATGTTCTGTATTCATTTCATTAGTTGATAACCAACTATAGCCTATGAAAAAATGTTGTCTACGACAAAATAACATTGTTTATTCTGATTTAGTGGAGTATTTTGGATATAGAATCCGTGGAATGAAAGGCCTTGGTAAGATTAGAGTTTATGGACAACCTTTTAACGACCCTAAAATGACCTTGGAATGCCTACCTACTTACTTGGGTTAAATAAGGCTTATATATTTGTGTGCGGAATTAGGATTAGGATTTAAATCTAGATGTTATCGTTAGGAAATCGACTCAATGTTTTCATCACGAGCCGACGAACCGTCAAATGAATGAATGAATTTCGCGCCAAAATCTAACATATGTTAAATCTCGTTCATCCATAAATTATAGTCTCGTCGGACAAATAACCATGTTATCACTATTACCATATATAACATATTCGTTCAGTGTTCATAATTCTGACATGGAGTTACCCTTAATAACGTATGGGGTATTTCTTTATATTGATATGTAATCATATTTATACATGCCTGTATACTTTCCCAATTGTATACAAACACTATTCTGTGTGATGATACTGGTTTTATGATTTGATTTGTCTCATGAACAAAACAATGTAAGTTTACTTATTTGGCTCTCAATGAGTGAAGTTTTTCTTGAAGGCTAAATATTTTATGATATTTTGGGAAAAGAGGATTTTAAAGAAACTTGTCAGGTTTGCAATTTTAGTTTGCTCATTATCAATTGTACAAGCTTGACGAAATAAAAATTATTGAGATAAAATATTCAGCTCATTCTGAAGGTAAACAGCCTCGATTGTAAATTGAATTCTATGGCAATCTCGTACAAGCTTTCCAAGGAAATATAATCTAACATCAAAATTATCGAACATGGTCATGCCAGTTGTACATTTTGTTCTGTTTAACTGTATACTAATTGGTTCATCCAATCAACGTTATACAATCTTATAAGTAGGTATTCGCTTTAGTGTGTAAGAGACATGTGATGTGAAATGAAAAACGTGTCAAGATAACAGATTGTTTGTATTAGTAAGTGGTGTGAGAAGAAATTTCACTCAATATTTATCTTCTCTGATCGGTGGAATTTGAGAAAACATACAATTTTTTTATATGATATGAATCCAATATGTCACACCACTCATAAAATGAAGATAAATAAACAAAATAAAGGGATAAATGTTTGTGTTAGTTTTATTAGCCCAGTTAACTGTTTATTAGATTCAGTTTATAAAACTCATTAGAACAATTGAATGTAATCGTTGTTGAAACTTTATTTATTTCACTGGTTGTGCTTGTTTTTTTAAGTATGTTGCGCCTGACATTAACTCGTCTAGCATGTCAAGCTGAACATCATTCATGCGTTAAAATGGCTACAGAATATTACAGAAATTGGATGCTTAATCCTGAACAAAATTTGTAAGTTACCTATTGAGCTGTTATGATTTTTAAGTAATTACTTACTTACTTACTTACGCCTGTTACTCCCAATGGAGCATAGGCCGCCGACCAGCATTCTCCAACCCACTCTGTCCTGGGCCTTCTTTTCTAGTTCCATCCAATTCTTGTTCATTTTTCTCATATCTATCTCCATTTCTCGGCGTAATGTATTCTTTGGTCTTCCTCTCCTCCTTCGACCTTGAGGATTCCATGTGAGGGCTTGTCTTGTGACGCAGTTCGGTGCTTTCCTCAATGTGTATCCTATCCACTTCCAGCGCTTCTTCCTGATTTCTTCCTCCACTGGGATCTGATTTGTTCTCTCCCACAGTAGGTTGTTGCTTATAGTGTCCGGCCAGCGGATCTGAAGTATTTTGCGTAGACAACTGTTAATAAACACCTGTATCATTTGGACGATGGATTTCGTAGTTTTCCAGGTTTCCGCCCCATACAGTAGAACTGTCTTGACATTTGTATTGAAAATTCTGACTTTGGTGTTGGTTGCCAATTGTTTTGAGTTCCAGATATTCTTCAGTTGTAAATATGCTGCTCTTGCTTTGCCAATCCGTGCCTTCACATCTGCATCAGATCCACCGTGTTCATCGATGATACTGCCCAAATATTTAAAGGTTTTTACATCTTCCAAAGCTTCTCCGTCAATTGTGATTGGATTGGTACATGTTGTGTTGTATCGAAGAATCTTGCTTTTCCCTTTGTGTATATTGAGACCTATTGCTGCTGAGGCTGCAGCTACACTGGTTGTCTTCTCCTGCATTTGTTGTTGTGTACGCGATAGAAGAGCCAGATCATCTGCAAAGTCTAGATCATCCAATTGCATCCTAGCTATCCACTGTATCCCGTGCTTCCCTTCAGATGTTGATGTCTTCATGATCCAGTCGATCACCAGGAGAAAGAGAAAGGGTGAGAGTAAGCAACCTTGCCTGACACCGGTCTTTACTTCGAACGACTTTGTCAACTGTCCTCCATGCACGATTTTGCAGTTTAATCCATCATAGGAATTCCATATGATATTGACTATCTTCTGAGGCACGCCGTAGTGTCGAAGAAGCTTCCATAGGGTTGTTCTGTCCACGCTATCAAATGCTTTTTCGTAGTCGATGAAGTTGATATAGAGTGATGAATTCCACTCAATTGATTGTTCCACAATGATCCGTAGAGTTGCGATTTGGTCTGTGCACGATCTATCCTTACGGAATCCTGCCTGTTGTTCTCGAAGTTGGGCGTCTACGGAGTCCTTCATCCTGTTTAACAATACCCTGTTGAAGACTTTTCCTGGTATTAAGAGATGAGTGATTCCCCTGTAGTTACCACAGTTGCTGAGATCGCCTTTCTTTGGTATTTTGACCAGAAGTCCTTCTTTCCAGTCTTTTGGTACCTGTTCCTCATCCCAAATCTTTCTGAAGAGAATGTGGAGTGTCCTTGCAGTTGCCGCTACGTCTGTTTTCAGTGCCTCTGCTGGAATGCTGTCTAGTCCTGCTGCCTTGCCACTCTTGATTTGTCTGATAGCCATGCTGATTTCTTCAATTGTTGGTGGGCCAACATCGATTGGGAGGTCCGTGAGTGCTGCTTCAATGTTGAGTGGGTTCAGTGGGGCTGATCGATTCAAGAGTTCTTTGAAGTGTTCTACCCACCTGTTTCGTTGTTCTTCAATGTTGGTGATTATCTTGCCTTCCTTGTTTTTCACTGGTCGTTCTGGTTTACGGTGATTTCCAGAGAGTCTCTTTGTTGTGTCATACAGTTGTCTCATGTTTCCTTCTCTGGCAGCCTTTTCCGCCGTCATTGCTAAATCTTCCACATATTTACGTTTGTCGGTACTGATGCTCCTCTTCACCTGCTTGTTTACTTCTGTGTATTCAGCTTGTGCCTTGGCTTTTTCTGCTCTTGTTCGGCTGGTATTGATTACTGCCTTCTTGTTCCTCCTTTCTTGAATCTTTTCCAGTATATCAACCGTGATCCAATCCTTGTGATGGTGCTTCTTTTGGCCTAGAACCTCATGACATGTTGAAGTGATTGCCTCTTTTATCTCTTTCCAGTTGCTCTCCATAGTAGCTTCTTCTCCATTGAGTAGGTCATGAAAGGCTTGGAACTTATTGCTGAGGGTTATCTTGAATTTATTGAGTTTGTCATTATCCCGAAGAAGAGACGTATTAAATTTTTGTGATATTGTCCTCCCCGTTGTCCAGTGCCTCTTGAGTTTCAATTTTATCTTGGTGACCAGCAAGTGATGATCTGATGCTATATCAGCTCCTCTCTTTGTTCTCACGTCCTCCATCGTCCTCCTGAACTTTTTGTTGATGCAGATATGGTCGATTTGGTTCTGTGTGCTGTGATCCGGTGAAGTCCATGTGGTTTTGTGTATGCGTTTATGTGGGAATATAGTCCCGCCTATGACCAGTTTATTGAAGGCACATAGATTTGCAAATCTCTCACCATTTTCGTTCCTTTCTCCGAGTCCGTGTCGTCCCATGATCTCTTCATATCCGGTGTTGTCAATTTCAACCTTGGCATTTAGGTCTCCCATCAGAATAGTCAGGTCCTTTGTTGGGCACTTCTCGACGATTGACTGCAGCCTATCGTAGAATTGATCTTTAGCGTCTTCATTGTAGTCATTGGTAGGCGCGTAGCATTGGATGACGTTCATTGTAATCCCCGTTTTCTTTGTTTTGAAGGGGGCTTTGATGATCCTTGGTCCATGAGATTCCCATCCTATAAGTGCATTTTGTGCTTGTTTGGACAGCATCAATGCAACTCCTTGTGTATGTGGGGCATTTTCTTGTTCATGTCCGGAGTACAACAGCAGCTCCTCTGAAGCTAGTCGTTGTTGTCCAACTTGCGTCCAATGTGTCTCACTGATCCCAAGCACCTCTAAATTGTATCTCCTCATTTCTGCAGCAATTTGGAAAACTCTCCCAGTGTCCCACATTGTGCGAGCATTCCATGTACCTAAATAAATGGTTGCTCTGGTTGTCAGAAGGGGCATCGGTCGGGTGACTTCCGAAGAAACTCGGCTTTCATCATGAGGCGTCATAATTCTTCTAAACGAAGACCTCCTGACTCCCATGGCAGAGTTTAAATGGTTTGAATAAATTTTTCTGGTTAGCGCTTTTTTAGCGAGTTAGTTTTCTACGGGATGGGGTCGTTAACCCCATGCCCAACCCTCCTCCTTTATCCGGGCTTGGGACCGGCAGTGGCCCCCGGAAAGGGACTCCAGGTGGATTTTTTTTAAGTAATTACTAGATTAAAATTACATTCTTAAACATGTCCTGTTTTGGTTTCATTAAATGTAAGGCAGTTATGCAAGGTATTGGCGACCAACAACTTGTATATCATTCACTTGTATTGATCGGTCTATATCTATGAAATTTGTGTATCCGTTGTTAACTTGTGGATTGCTTCAAATGACTTAATTATTCTGTTTAGTTTTATTTCCGTGTTGAAAGAATAAAGTTCTTTTTATAATACAATCTGTGGTATTGTTTTTACTACATGTAGTACTATTCATTATCCTCTAATTTTTCATTCGTTTTATGTTCAAGGATCCCACCAAGTTTGAGGCCAGCTGTTTATTGCACAGCAATTAGAATTGGTGGACAAAAAGAATGGGAATTTCTAAGACAACGTTTATTAGAAGTGGATATCAAAGAGGATGAAAAAAACAGTATTTTACAGGCGTTGTCTTGTTCTCGTGATATGTGGATAGTAAGACTGTGAGTTATCTTACATTTCATTTGTTGTTGCGTTTGATTGTCAGCTTCCAATAAATTAAATAAATGGTTTTTCTTTTAGTGCAATGTATGTAAACATATACGATTCCATAAAATACATGGATTTTTTCATGTTATATTGTCTATCTAATACATGTTTCGTGTTGTTGTATTTATATTATCATTAAACTATCAGTAATTTTCACCATGTATATCTCTCAATATCATTTGATCATTCATAGCTTTGTGTTTACGTAATTTAATACGGAGCAAGACGCTTTTACTATATGAGGTTTAGTGTTTTATGAGTAATCAATTGATTAATGTTACCTTTCTGTCATCAGATCACGCAGTAAGCATTTATTAATCCAGCTAATGAATTTGCTTATAATATTAAAAGATATATATGTCACCAATATGGTGAAATATGGGTTCGCATGACCTGTAATGAACCAAACTAATATTTCAACAATGTTTAATGTGTGGTTATGTTTAAAAAGCAACTCCGTAACAATAACCAATTGTTGGTCAGAGCAAAAACAAGCCTGCTCCTTGTGTGCCAATCTTGTATTTTGAACAATGTAGCAAGTGTGAAGGAAGCCAATAGTCTGGACGCAATCTGAAGTAGACTTATCCCACTTTGGTTGTGGAATAAATGATGTGAACTTTATAAAAGATAGGAACAACTATGGACTCATCCCACGATGTTGGAATGCTCTCTAATTGCCAGACTTTTGTGAACAACCCAGCCAATTCCCTAACTAGAAAGCCGTCACAGTCTTAAAAAAACTGGGAGTAAGTCATCTAAGCTTCAAATTTGTAGCGCTTCAGGAGTTGGAGTTCCTTGTAGACTTGCGTCTCGTTAGATGGATTATTTGCCACTGGACATGGAGGGTATGACAGTCTGATCAATGTCTCTTGGGCAGCAGACTAGTTGACCTGTCATCAAGAAACCCAACCCATGTCGGTTGATGCCATTGGTTGGTATCCCAACAACTTCACCGACTGTTTCACTCACGACTGACTTGTTGTCAGCGGTACGGAGTACTTGAGTGTGATTCTGGCAGTTACTGAATGCAGCTGCTCCTTGCAACCGATTGAAAAGTTCTGACCACGTGATAAATTGTCCCTGCTAAATAGCTGTTCCGTGTCAAGTGGTCCTAAATAGTTCTTAGGTTAATGGTAGTCACTAGCGGAGAAAGGGCAAATATCAAAGAAATTAGATATTTGATACATATTGCCTTCATTAATAGTTTTGTGTTTACGTAATTTAATTCATCGGTTTTAGTAAACACTGTTTTTTCAAGTGCTTTGATAGTACGGAGGAAGACGCGTTTAGTATATCAGGTTTAGCGCTTTATGATTAATCAATTAATTATTGTTACCTTTCTGTCATCAGACCACGCAGTAAGCATTTATTGATCCAGCTAATGAGTTTGCTTATAATATTAAAATATATATTAGTCACCAACATGGTGAAATATGGGTTCGCATGACCTGTAATGAACCAAACTAATATTTCAACAATGTTTAATGTGTGGTTATGTTTAAAAAGCAACTCCGTAACAGTAACCACTAGTTATGAGATATGTCCATTTATTTAGCCGAACAAAGTTTAGAGTTCAAATAACAAGAGAAAATGACAAAAGATGATTTATAAACTGTGTTTAATTTCAATCTGTCATGAAACTTATCGACAAAGCGAGCAAATTTTGAATATCGATATGGCATTATGGAGATTGTTGAATTTTATTTAATTGAGATCATGAACCGATCAATGTCAAACCACCATTGAATATATTTGGGACTCCTCAGCAGTTCGCCGTCCAGTGTGTCGAAGCTTTCAATGGTTGTCTAATATTGATCAGTTCATGCTTTCAATTACAAAAATTTTGAATAACCATTTTGTTTAAATAATAATAAAATTTTATATCTCTTTCCAATATTCAATTACCTACTTCGTTTAGTTTCTGTTACCTGAATAATTCAAAATTGAATACAAATAAATACTTTTCTTGAAATTGACCATTACATTTCATGTTATTGATAATTTAGACATTTGGAATGGGTCATAAAAAATAATCAAAAGGATCCTCAGGATTTATTGGATGCACTTTCATCTGTTGCACTGTATCCTATCGGCCAGACACTTCTATGGGAACATATTCGTGAAGCATGGAGATTTATAATGAATGAGTAAGAATGAATTTTCTATAATATTTTAAATGAAAATCATTTTACCTACTTCAGTGGCAATAAAAGTATTAGATTAACTATTCTTTAAGCTTGGACACTGTGACGAGATGACGAACGTCATCAGAATTATGTGATATATTTGCACAATGCATTTTGAGCACAAAAAGACGCCTTCAGTCTTCGTATAGTTATCACGTCGATAAATCTTAGTATATGCCCTAGAACACTCCCGAACAACATTAAAAACTGTGACTTGATATTGGACGTATGATAGATCTCAATCAAATGCTTCGCAGTGGAGAAAGATATTTATCACTTCTGTCACCTTGTTTGACCCTTGGAATTCATTCGATTTCTCAGCCATTTGGTTGTATACATTCACCTTTACCTGCAGATCAAGACTATTTCTCTTATTTATGTGTTTCGGCACGTACATATAAACTGGTAGACTCAGAGAGTTGTGGTATAATTAGTCACAGGCTTTTTGAAGATTTTGTGAAACATAGTTCTAGAAGTTTTGATGCTGATGAGTCCTAAGACGAAACCATGTGAGTTACCTCTTGGATACCGAGCACTTAGTAGTTCTTATTACATCTTTGCTCTACCAACGGTTTATAATCTAAAGTTAATAACTGTCATTCATAAGTGCTTCAGTTAAGAGCTGTGCTTCTCTCTTGACCGAGTTGTTAGTGCAAATTCGATTGATCCTACTGCATAGGGTCTTTGTTAATCCGCGTTTGTACTGGATTGAACATTAACTATGAAAAGTAAGGTTTCATGTTGTACATGAAACTAAATAAATGTGACTGCAGATTTAGATCATTTGTCCCATAGAAAATGACTTAAATATGTTTTTGCACAGTTCTACTGAGAATCTTCACTAGGTGGATTTCAGTCATATCACGAGTGAAGCAGATTTTACTAATGAAATTCAATAATCTTTAGCCAAATATTGAAAGCGAAGTAGAAGTTCCAGTAATGTACAGCTAATATTGCGTTTTTTTGGAGGAAACGTATAGTTAAACCTAGCTAAACATGATTGATCTGCCTTATTTGCTCAGAAATAGTAAATAATTATGGCAAATTTCAGATTTATTAATTTAAAAATTTTCAATGTAAGACAAAACAAATTGTCATTAACATTTCCAATTGTTTTCAGAGGAAAAAACGCAACTCACCCAACTGCAAAAGCGTAAGTTTAGAGTGATAAATCACTTTTTAAAATGTATTTCATTGCTTAACTCAGTTACAAAATACACTTCGCATGTCCACCATTTTCTTTTAGTTATTACCTTTTTATTTAGTTGACTACTTACAAATATTTAAGTAGTATGCTAACAGCGTTTCATTCGTGAGCATTGACTCAGATTTCCAAAGCATCCAATATGTCACATTACATATTGAATAATCCTACTTGAACGCTTTTTCTACATGTGATTATTTTGATAATTCTCTACATCACATTTAAACTATGATGGTTGTTAAAGTTTTAATATGACTAACAATGTAATTTCCCAGGATATTTTTGTGGGTAATCGGATATTGAAGATAGGAGATGTTAGTTGTTCTTAGTTTATGAAATAACCAGAAGAACTTACAAAATTGTAAATTTTATTTTCTGGTTCTTGGTTCACAATCCATTTTGCTCTACTGAGATCTTTCTAATGTGCAATTAATTTTAACTGGCAAACGGTAACTTCTTCATGTTCTCTAGAGGATATTGTTTTTGAATTTCCGAATCGATTAAATTTGAGTTTTATATTTGTGAAGACAAAGTGTTTTATGGGGCAACATTTGGATGAATAAATTGTATGCATCAGTTTACCAAATAAATTAAAGTTGAACCTCATTCCGATTTCAATAACGGAATTGAAATTTACAACGCTATTAATTGAAGAGTAGTAACATATTAATTTCGTAGTGTAAAAATGTTAGTGACTAAATATTTTTATTCTGCATTTCACTTATGTTTTACTATATTTATGTTTCTGTGATCATCGATGTAATGAAATGTTTACTGCGGTATCACAATATGTATTGTGGCATCTCGGCTCACTTGAGTGAACGAGGCACGGTTCATACATTCTTGATATGCCGACTATGCGCGCGCGAGATAAATAATTAAGTAAACGAAATATTCCATTGAGACATTAAACACATAACTATATCCTTTTCTTACCATCTGGCCACGTAACAGCATTTGATCTATGTGATCTTCTACGAACATCTGATTGGTTAGGTCAACCTAACATACCGCCTCTACCTTTAGAAAAGAAAGATTTTCGTTCATGTCAATTAAGATGAGGAGACATAATCAGATTGTCATGTCAACTGTTAACGTTTTAATTTTTATAAGCATAATGTTAACTTCACCATCTGTTCTACTTCCCGTCGTGTTCATACTAACCAGTAATCGTTAATGCCTTATAAATATGCAGAGTCGACACATCCTACATCTTCTATGTTGTCTGAAATGTTCAAAATAATGTTCAGCCTTTTCATTACTTTCATATAAGTGATAAATATTGAGTTTTAAGGTAGTTTCCTATCTCCCCATTAGACGAAACAGACTAGTGGTCAGCTTCCTCATAATGTTTACAAAATCGCATTTGATTTTAAGTTACTGACAATGCACTAAATGGGTCTAACTATTTGTGGAATAAAAACTTAAATTTAATTACACGTAATACAGATAGTCAATAAAATTAAGACTAGTTTGTACTACTCCATCTTATTTAGCGCTTCATCTGATGATCTCAATGACATTTGCAAGTATCATCAAACTGCAAACTCTGGGCGTAACAATGAGTAAGTAATACAATTGGTTTACACGAAAACACTTAAAGTTATTCCTTCCATCAACATTTGTTTCATATTTGGACTGTCCAGTTTACCTTGGTAGATAATATCACATTAAAATTAATGATTACCGTTGGTCAAATGAGAATTCGACAATAAATTTTAATCGTTATATTAGAATAAGTAATTAGGACATAATTGACATTATTTCCATTGCATCACCAATAAAAGTTATTTATTTGCAACAATCAACTATGGAGTTCCTTCATATCGGTATTCTGTTTTCACTTCCATACATGTATGGAGTTTACACACGGACTCAAGCATAGATAAACACAGCATGGTTAACTGAAATAGGTGTTTCTGTACACAGTGAACTAGAAGTACCTAATAAAGCCAAAAACAGAAGAGTGAAAAGTGACATTTTGTTTGGTGAATTTAACTGTGGAATTCGTAATATATTTTCTAATGTCAACGAAGAACTAATACTCAATCTGAAAGATACATAGGCATTAAGATTTTGCTGACACGTTCTGAATCCATAAGGTATATAATGAGTATCTATTATTAGCATAGATCATGATCTATTTGAAACAGAAGGAAACCTAATAAGTGACTGGATTCTGTCAGTAAGATAGTGAACAAGGTTTTCCATATTCTCGAATTTCTATCATCCAAATACTGTTTGTCTGTCACATTATTTCACATATCTTGGTAGGTAGTATTGTTTCTATAAAACAAATATATTAGCTAGAATAACTTTGATTTATACTTCAGAACTCGTCTGCTTTTATAAGCAAGCATAGTTTGGATATGATGTATGTATATACCCGAGCAAACCAATGTTTTTACTTCTGCATTGCTCAAGTAGTTTATGTATGATTTCAATTCAGCAATTACTTACTTACTTACATACTTACTTACTTACTTACTAACGCTTGTTATCCCTCAGTGAAGAGCATAGGTCACTCAGAAGGATTCTCCAACCAACTTCTACCTGGGCCATCATTTCCAGTTGTTCATAAGTGCTATTCGTTCCATTGATGTCAGCCACTTTTTTCATTTAGCAATAATACAGTTAAACTTATTCGTTTATAATTAATTAATTAATTAATTAATTTTGTGATTATGAATATACTTCAGCCTAATATACAGTTTACATCAAACAACGTGTACAGTTACTGAACTAAAAATTGTTAAGTTACATGTTAGCTAGTTTTTGACATGAACAGAAGAAGAGTTTTATAACGGTAGTAACACTAGTCATTTCACTACCTGTTGGTTCTAGAATGTTTTCCAAATAGTATTGGGTTGTTATTCAGAGAAATTCACTTCAAGCATTCAATCATTTTTTGTGTTTTTGTTGGAGAAACAACATCCATTAATATAAGCAATTCGGATTAGTCTACTTCTGTTCGAATTGTTTATTTACTAATGAAATCTAACTTATTAAACACTTTAAGCTACAATTCATACAACTAAACTATTAGCAGGATATGATAGTGTTAACAGAATGGTTAGAACATCAGGTAAGTAATTCTGCAGTCAATGTAAGGTGTATCAAGATATAAATTATGTTTATTTGTTTTGTTTTACAGGTGCGTACTAACTGTAATTCTTAAAATACTATCCAAACGTCATTACACACTAAATAACATACCGGATCAAGAAGAAGTTAGTCCATTTTGTTTTTATAATTCTTATTCATTTTCTAAATGAGGTAGCTAAGTATATGACGTTAGATGTTTTGAAGTGAAGGTTGTTTTCCTGTATAACAGTTAATCAATAGTTATCATTGTTATATATAACCAAGGTGGACACATAAACTGGTATATCCTTCAACTAGATCAAGCAGGTACATTACTATAGTGTACACTGCAAAAAATAGTAAAAGACAGTTAATACCGGCAAACCTTCAAAAATCTGTTTAATTGAGAAATTTAAAACATTGACATTGTTTCAGTGGTGCCAGGAAACCCTTAACAATTGGCTTAAGTACTAATCATTAGACACTGAGACTTCTGTACACTTGTGGAGAAAATCACATAGTTCTATCTTAACAAAAGTTATTTCTAGATTGATGACATTTCTCGATGTATATATATACATCTATATAGACGAAATATATTCGTGTTTTGCATGTCATTACAAAGGAATAAATTTTTATTTATCACGTGGAAGTTTTGCAGCTTAGTTGGATAAGTTAAGTGATGTGATTTTGTTGAGGTTGATGGTATAGTTGTGTTTTCATTATCATTATGGACACTGTCAGCCACATAAACTTTGTTCGGTGTGATAAGATTTTAGTAGCCTGATGTGTTCGCTTGTGGTGACGGGATCACCATTTTAGTGGCCCGGGATCTGACTCCAATTTGATCGTAATGATTGGTTGCTATCGTCTATCCTCGTATATAATCATTGACTTAAATCGCGTTAGTTAATAACGGAATTAAATAAGTTAAATAACGAGAATGGAGTTTCGAATGCATATATTTCGTATAATTGTTGATTAGACAAACGAACGGAGGAACGATTCGAAGATTAGAAAGCGAAGCTAAATTGGCGCGCGGTGGAGATGGCTGGTAAGCCAACTCTCCCTTTAACAAAGAGTTAATCAATATTTATAAGCCCACAAAAATAAATTACAGACATGTGATGAGTAACGGGATAAGAAGTGTGCATACGCCTACGCGCTCATACAAAGACAGTCAAGACATTGATAAGCGAATAATTAACAAGGTCAGAATGTGACTCAAATAGAATGAATAGAATGAGCTGTCCGAAAGTTAGAATAATAAGGTATTTGGGCTTAACATAATGACAGACACTACAAGATATTGCAAATCCAGGGAGCAAATTTTATAACCACATTTTCTGAAGGTTTATTAATTGATGGATTTTTTATTTCAAGGATTCCACTTAAGATATATGCTTCATATCTTGGACCAACAGCAATCCAATTCACAGCTTGAGGTGTTTTCATCCCACCCGCTCGACCTGATTACTACCATACTAGTCAACCTGATATAATTGGTAGTGATTAAAGTTTTTATTTTTCGAATTAATGAATACAAATGGTTGATTTTTAATTCACTAGGTACTTGCTATGCAAAATTCGGGACAGAAACTACTTGAAAATCATGTTCTCAAACGTGGATTAAATGATTTGTTTAAAAGGTCAAAGGAAAACATGAAATGGACAAAAACTCATCGTGATGTTATCAGTAATTGGTTAAATAAAAATGTTCCAATTACAACAATATTACTATGAATGCATTTCTTTCAGACTAATCAACAATATCACTATTAGACAGTTTTATTCTGTTGAATTGATTGATTACTGGTTTGTCAATTCACAGATCTATCAATCGATCTGTCTATCAATTCATCTGTACTTGTGTCTCTGTAACGAAATACTCATTTTTCTTGTTTCTCTCATATTCAATGTTACGTATGCGTATTTCGGTTTTCATGTGTTCTTCTTCTTATTGTTATTATTAATATTTTGAATGCTCTTACATCTATTCGTCACTGTAACGCATATATGTACAATGATTCGATCGTACATATATGCAATATACATTTTTCTTTATTACAGATGGACGAGAAAAAGATTTGTACTGCACGGATGATATAAAAATGGATATACAGGCTCAGTTACTTTATCAATAATTGCTATTATTATTACTATTATCGTTATTAGTATTGTTATTACTAATATTGTTACTGATACTACTATTATTATAGCTAGTAACCAGAATGCATGCTTATCTGTAAAGGTACATTTGTTCAATTTCTATGATCTGATAAAATTCTTAAACTTTGATCTGGTGTGTAATTAGTACTTACACTCCATAAAAATGATCAGACTGTTTGTGTTTTCAAGTGTTTGTTTATCAAGATTTTGCAAGTTATATATATTAAATAATGTAATTTATACCCTCTTAGTTAAAGAAATTCTTTGTAGTTTTAGCGAAGAATGTCCAAGAAATCTTAATCATCGCATATTCAACTACGATTTGCTCTACACAACAATCTGTGATTCTGACGTTCGTAGACTTTAATTTAGTGTTTTTCCTTACTAACGTACTCTCTGTAGTATCGAAGAAGTTTACATAACACTCTCCTGTCCGCATTGTAAAACACTTTCTAATTGTCAAGGAAGTTGATGTATGGTGACAAGTTCCATTCAAATGATTGTTCAACGATGATCCATAACGTCATGATTTGGTCTGTGCACGATCGATCCTTACGGAATCCAGCTTGTTGATCTCGGAGTTGGGCGTCTACTGAATCTTTCATCATATTCAGCAACACTCTGTTGAACAATTTCTGGTATCAACAATAATGTGATGCCTCCGTAGTCCTCACATTCACTCAGATCCTCTTTCTTTGGTATTTTGATTAAGTGTCCTTCTTTTCAATCTGTCGGTGACACTTGTTCATCCTCTTTAATCTTCCCGAATAGAACGTGAGTCAAACTTTCAGTTACTTATGTGTCTGTCTTAGATTCTTCAGCTGGCATACTGTCAGGTCCTATTAATTACCCACTCTTGATTTGTCGGATGATCATCTTGATTTCTTCGATCGTTGGTGGAGTGACATCTATAGGAAGGTCTGTAGGTGGTGCTTCGATGTCTGGTGGATGCAATGGAGATGACTCATTCTGGAGTTCTTCAAAGTGTTCCACACATGTGTTACTCAATTCGTGAATCTAAGTGATTGTCTTGCCTTCTGTGTCCTTGTATGGACTCCTCGACTCTCTTCTAGTTTATTCGTCGTGTAACATAGCTGCTCCATATTTCCTTCACTTGCAGCCTTCTCCACTGTTGTTGCTAGGTCCTGCATATATTTCTGCTTGTAAGATCTAATGCTCCTCTTCACCTGCTTGTCTGCTCGCATGCATCAGCTTGTGTTAACTGCTGTCTTCTTATCATTCCTTCATTGAATTTTGTCTAGCGTTTTGATAGGGATCCTGACACGTTGAAATTAATACATGTTTGATCCCTTTCCAATTGTCCTCCATTGTAGTTTCTTCTTTCAGTAGGTTATTTTATGCTTGGAACCTGTTGTTGAGAGTTAACTTGAACTTGTTTGGCTTGTCATTATGTCGAAGGAATGTGTGTTTGAACCTTTGTGATGCTGTTTTCCAGCTTTACATTGCTTCATATGCTGCAGTTTCATCTTGGCTACCACCCCGTGTTGGTTAGAGGCTGTCAGCTCTTCTCCTGGTTCTTTTGCCGTCCACTGACCTTGTGAATTTTTAACTGATAAAAATACGGGCAAGCTGGTTTGCTAAAATGTGATCCGGAGAGATCAACATAGTTATGTGAATGTGTGGGTGAGAGGATATTGTGCCGCCTATAATCATTTGATTGAATACACATACATTTTCAAATCTAACGATATTTTTGTTTATTTCTATCGGAGCATTTCGTTCAAAGATAGCGTGATATTCTGTGTTGGCAGATGGGACTTCCGCGTTAAGTCACCCAATTGGACGGTCAGGTGTTTCCATATATATCAACTGTAAAGTCGTTCGATCAGCATGATCCACAACCAACATGTCCACAGAGTTCTTGAGTTTAGATAATTGTTAATCAACGACAATATTATCTACACGATTCAGGCAGTGGTTGGCACAGTTCTCTTTTATATATATCTGTCAGTATGTCGAAGGAATGTGTGTTTTTGAAACTTTGTGATGCTGTTTTCCAGCTTTACATAGCTTCGTTTGCTGCAGTTTCACCTTAAAAAAGACTGGTTTTGCCTTCTAAAAGTGGGGGGACAGAATCCAATGTATACGACTGTTCGATGGTCATCATATAACACATCCTTATTACACACACACACACACACAAAGTACTTACATACATGTGCCAACATACTAGGAGAATCTCAATGAATGAGACTAGAGAGAGGGGAAGAAGATAGAGATAAATAAATCATATGGTAATGAAGATACACAAAAACAAGAATTACATACTACCATTGACATAATATAGGTAGCAGTATGTGACATTTTACAAAACCAATAAGTGAGGGATGTATGCAATACAGAAAAGAAATCACTTTACTGGAAAGCGGGACACACATAGACACGGGAGCAAGAGAGAAGTAACCAAAAAGAGAATATGGAAGAGTTTTGTCATAATAGTGTAAAGTTACAAAATGGTTTCACGTAATGTATAACAAAACAACATTATGTGACTTTTCTATTGTGATTGGTTATCCATTTAAAGAAAAACGATATTCTTGCTAACGAATAACAAATGAGATCACAGACAAAACGTGATTTCTTTAAAAGCGTTTAACAGTTCGAAACAATTTCACGCCTACAAACCGTGATCTAAAGTCATAAGAATAACATCAACGAAATGAATCTTGTCTAGTGAACTGTTGACCTTTACACAGTGTTAAACAGTGCTAGATTACAAGACAGTGGTCATATGCAATGTTTGACTTGATTGTTCGACTTTTATTGTTCCTTTTCAAAGCATTTGTGAATGCTGGTCATTGTCCTCCTAAACACTGTACATTTCTTTTTTCGGTTTATGACTGTTTTATAGCACGAGGACTATTAAGCAGATTTTGTGATTATTCGTCTATTTCCTTTGATTTTTCATCAAGTTTTGTCATTGTGAAAATGTCATCATCAACACATATTGGAAATATTTTCGTGTATCCAAACTGAATAAATGTGAATGTTCAATTTGATAAATAATTTGCATCGAACTTCGTAATCGCTTTGACAAGAAACACTTGTTCTGTGGTTACACTGATATAAATGTTTGATGATTAATGTTTGCTGTTTTCATTTGCTCCATAGAGTTGTTTTGAGTAACATTATGAGAGCAGGGCAGTCTGATCGATGATGCCGGAGCAGCATGCCAGTTGAACTGACCTACGAAGAACTCTGTCCATCATGAAATGTCTCAATTCTAATTGAAGCGAACATAGTACATAGTGAAGTAATCGTTATCTCATTAAATTTGTGCGAGGGCTGCCCGGATGCTTAATCCGAAACAGGTGGTTTTCTTAGGGGACCACACCCAGAGCAATTAACCTAAAGGTTCAATCCACAAGGCAGTGGAGATTCAATCCCATGGTAGCCGGTCACCAACGATTGATTCGTACGCTATTTGTTTCTTCGGGATACTTGTGCCCATGTGCACCTTTGCTCTGGAATCAGGATTTTCCAACTCCCCTAGTTGAACCTCTGTGTCAACCAACCCGGTTTAGCACCAGACTTTCACTTTCCGTTCCCTCAATTTCGTAAACGACACTCCTGTCACGAGAATGCATTGAATAGGACTTCCCTAGCATAGGCTTTATAAGTGTGGCCATGTGAGAGCAGTTCGAGAGTGAGAAATGACTTGTAGTGTTCGTCATTATGTTAAGCCCATATACCATATTCTAGCTTTCGGACATCTCAATCTATTCATTCTATTTGAGTCATATTTTGACCTTGTTAATTATTCGCTAATCAATCTTGACTGTCTTTGTATGAGCGCGTGAGCGCGTGTACACTTCTTATCCCACTGTTCATCACATGTCTGTAGTTTATCTTTATGTGCTTATAAATATTGATTAACTCTTTGTTAAGGGGAGTTAGCTTACCAGCCATCTCCGACGCGCGTCATTTTTTCTTCGCTTTCTTTTCTTCGCATCGTTTTCTCGTTCGTTTCTCTGATCAATGATTACAAAAACTATATGCATTCAGAAGTCCATCCTCGTTATTTGACTTATTTAATTCCGTTATTAACTAACGCAATTCAAGTCAATAATTATATACGAGGATAAGGCGCACATATATTTCCACAACGATCATTCATACTATCAAATCGGAGTCAGATCACAGGCCACAGGAAACTCTCCCCACTCTCAGTCGTACCAGGGCACAAACATCACATCAAATGTTATTCTTCTCAACAGTGCCTCAGTGAATACTAACAAAAGTTATAAAGAATGCATAGGGCAATAGAATCGGTTATTATCTATGTGATTGATGACTTCCATCACTGGCAGGCATCAGTTGTAGTACAATTCAACACCATAAAACACTGAAAAGAAATATCAATAATCGGTCATAAATGTTTTCGAAATTCATTGCATGTCGTTTAATATCGGGCAGATTGTGTATTGGTGAACAACTTTGAATTGTAGATTGAACTGACATTCACTTGAAAACTGAGGTTGTTCTCATTAAAAATAACCTTAGTTTCATGCACAAAATATCTGTTCTCCACAAATACGTGTCTTAGTTAAGTTACTAGTTTCAAATAAGTTTCCAAGACTGAAGTTTCGAAGTAGCGGATTCTAAATTAGTATCAACACTCCTAACAAATAAATATAATGTCATAATACCTCCAATCACCATCTAATCTCACAATAGTGCCCGCAGTGTCGAGTCACCTAGACTAGTGGCCACATTGCAACATGGTCGATAGCATTCGATCTGCACTAATAATAAGGACAAGACAAGCATGACATTGGTCACCACCCAGTGATCAATCAATTGTGATAATATCATAATGTATTCTGTCTTTATATTTACTATAATCTTTAAGTCGATATAACATCTGACACTGGAAGCTTTATCCCAAATTAAAAAGAACAATAAATTTTGGTTTAGGTTGTGCGAGGCGGCAGTTTCAGGTCGATTCACATGCACAAAAATAACAGAAATTCATGTAACTGAAAAAAGATATCAACAATTTTATTTCAGCGGCCTATGTGAAGAAATTTGATGACATGTTCACTGTTATGTCGAATCGTGTGTGAATCAGAACTCACTGTTTTGAATAGTCTGAAGTCCGCCAATACCAACCCATCCAGAGGTTTATAGGAAGCCACATAATTTGGTTGTTTCCATATATATGATCTCCAGACATGACCAGTTCAAGCACATAAGATATACAACACCATACGACACTAATGAGTGCTTCAGATTTCAACTGTGAAAGGCGACAACAATCAACGAACAAATAGAAACTGAAAAATTAGGAATCCTTCACGTGTTCAATCGGCTGCCGTCAGTCTATTTGAAGTCGGATCTGCTGCAATGTGTTTCGAATAGAGATAGCCAGGCTGTTGGAATGACCATGAATTCAGTTTCATGGTCTCCTGAAATTCTACACACCTTTCGAATCACTTAGTCAAACAACAGTGTCCTCTATTTTCCGTCGCACCATCATTTCAGCATTGAATCGGACTTCATACCAAGTCATCCGATTTGTAATAGGAGTACCGAAATGCTTCAAAAGATGTGTAAGCTGGTTCTTTGGAAGTAGTCAAACCTTAAACACTAGTGAAAGCGTTACTCAAAATGTTGTTCACAAAAGCCCCGATCACATGTTAAACTTGCATCATCCAGAAGAATAAACATGAGAAACTCACTGATTATGTCAAACGTGATCAAAGAATGATACATTTATACTTTCATAATGTTACTCAAAACAACTCTATGGAGCAAATGAAAACAGCAAACATTAATCATCAAACATTTATATCAGTGTAACCACAGAACAAGTGTTTCTTGTCAAAGCGATTACGAAGTTCGATGCAAATTATTTATCAAATTGAACATTCACATTTATTCAGTTTGGATACACGAAAATATTTCCAATATGTGTTGATGATGACATTTTCACAATGACAAAACTTGATGAAAAATCAAAGGAAATAGACGAATAATCACAAAATCTGCTTAATAGTCCTCGTGCTATAAAACAGTCATAAACCGAAAAAAGAAATGTACAGTGTTTAGGAGGACAATGACCAGCATTCACAAATGCTTTGAAAAGGGACAATAAAAGTCGAACAATCAAGTCAAACATTGCATATGACCACTGTCTTGTAATCTAGCACTGTTTAACACTGTGTAAAGGTCAACAGTTCACTAGACAAGATTCATTTCGTTGATGTTATTCTTATGACTTTAGATCACGGTTTGTAGGCGTGAAATTGTTTCGAACTGTTAAACGCTTTTAAAGAAATCACGTTTTGTCTGTGATCTCATTTGTTATTTGTTAGCAAGATATCTATAAAAGAAAACTGTGCGTACCACTGCCTGAATCGTGTAGATAATATTGTCGTTGATTATCAATTATCTAAACTCAAGAACTCTGTGGACATGTTGGTTTTGGATAATGTTGATGGAAGACATTTTGACTCCACACATCACTGTCAATCTCTCCACCCAATATATGTAGAAACTTTAGCAATCTCAACTTTAATACGGTCAAAGAAATCATTTATCATGTTGATCGTGTTGATTCTTTGGTGTATATTAGTCGACGATGCTTCAGCATTGAGCAGGTCTAATTTTTTTGAAGTTGATTCAGATTATGCAAGTATGTATATTTCAATTAATTTTGTTGTCTTTTTGACTGAAAATTTATTATCAATGTCATCATTATATTGATTAAATGGATTAATCACTGAAACTACGTAAATATTTTATCGCATGATTATTATAAATTGAGTGCTCGTTCATCCCACGCCATTTCGTTGAATGGAGTTCTGCGATCTAATCTTTTATCCATATGATTCACAAATTAAAAATTATTATTCTATGTCACTTGTTTACCGAAGACAATGGAAGATGATTTCCCAATATCGTGGACGGATTGAGGTGGGTTTAAAGCACCGTTCGATTCCAGTTCGATGGTCTGGCGATCATGAGTTCGGGCGCATGATTGAGTTTCCTCAGTTCGATTCTCGTGGGCAGGGTTGTGGATGTAAAATCCTGAAATGCCCACTGTATAACGAAACGACAGTTCACTGATCTTGTGTCTTCAATGGTGGTCTGACACTGATCAGTTAATTACTTCAGTGAAATTCAGCAATCTTTACTACCCTAAACCTTGTGGTGTCAAATGAAATTTATTGAGCTGTAATCTAAACTAGCAAAATACAATAAGTTTAAACGTTCATTCCTCTCTCAAAGGAGTGTGAACAGAGTTCACTCATTGAATAATACCAATTGATGTACTAATCGTATTCTAATTTAAACGTTTATTTTAGATATGTTAACCACTAGTGCAACTGAAAATATCGACGATGATAATAAAGTGTCTAATTATTCATCAGAGGAATTTAGATTACCACGTACATTGTTTCCACACTTCTACGATTTGTCAATTCAAGTCCATTTGCATGATGACAAGTCAGAAGGCTTTTTTTTCAACGGATCTGTGACAATAAAAGTTTTCTGTAATGTGTCGACAAACGAGTTCTTCGTACATGCATCTGATAATCTGAATGTGAGCTTGGATCAAATCCATGTAAGTTTTTAGCTATACTTTTATTGGAAAAATATCCGTTCTTTGAAATGAGGATAAAATCGACTGACAAACTCATATAATGTAAGAGTCCCCAATACAAACGAATCCTTCACCTGCATTTATGTCATCGTTTGTGTGGACACTTTGATAAGTTGTAAGTGGACATTCAAATGACTTAACCAAGTAAACTTGGAAGTCGATAACATGGTGTGAATGAAGTAAGAATTTTGTTTGGAAAATACTATGCAATTTGATGCCTGCTTAGTCTCTGATGTCAACCGAATTTTACATAATAGACTGAATGACTACCACGTATGTGATAATGATATGACTGTTGAAAATTATTATTCATCATAAACTGAATTTTAGTACTTATATAAAATTTATTCAACAGAATGTATTTTCAGAATCATCATTTATGATGGTTTATTTGACAGTGATTCAAATGGAATTTTGACTAGACTGAAGTTCAAGTAAAAACTCACTTTTAATTAATTTTCAGTAATATTGTAGTGAACAAGAACACAAGAGAGGACAATCGAACGTATTAGACACGAACTTACAGAAAATGGTAATAAGATCTAACAACCATATAGTAAATGCTCAATTTGCAAAATAATCATCAATTGTCCCTAAATCACTCAGACTTCATTGTTCTTGCATTTTTTTATACAAATTGTATTCTGTCTCCATGATTTACCGTTCGATCTTCTTGTCTCTCTGCTGCGAGACATTCTGTTCCTGACTATCGTCATATACTACTTATGTCGATATAAGTAGAACACACCCAATATGGTCAAAGTCAAAACACAATTACATCATTTTACTTCTAAAATTACTTGAAACAATATTGTCTATTACACAACTTGTAAGTAGGATTGTACGAAAAGAAACAAAAGTAACGATTACTTCAAAGTAGATTGATAACTAAGTGTTATTTTGTTAAAACGAACATTATCAAAAACAAGAAAATATTATTTCATTTATAAACAATTGAAGCGAGAGTAACATAAGAAGTTGGAATTTATTCAGGAGATCAACCAACTAATTTTATCAAATAGCATAAGATTCTACATTTATGATTCAAGACGGATCCAATAGTTCAACTAAGAAGCACATTTAAGATTAAACTCACTTGGTGTTATTTACTTGAATGTTCCCATTGATGTTTAGAACTGCAGTTGATTATTCTCTTATAGGCATATGTACCTACTGTGCGTATTGTATGAATTCACTAGCATTATAAGCAAAGATGGATAGTGGCTAGCAGTGGAATCCAGGATATACGTTTCGTTCGATTCGGGACTCGTCAGCTGGATGCATCGTCCACCAGCATTCTCCAACCAACTGTGTCATAAACAATCCTTTCCAGTTCTTTCCACTACCTATTCATCCAGTTAGTGTTTTCTTCTAATACTTGTCGCAGTGTGTTACTTGGTCTTCCTTTTTTTGCGTCTCCATTCATGATTCCGAATCAGTATTTGCCTCGTGATGCAGTTTGATGATTTCCACAATATATTTCCTATCCACTTCCAATGTCTTTTCCTAATTTCTTCTTCACTTGGAAGCTAGTTTGTTGTCTCCCGCGGTAGACTGTTATTCGTTGTGTCCGGACAAAGAACATTGCGTACCTTGTGATGGTTATGGTAGTTCTCCAATTTCAGCTCACTGCGATAGGACTGTTTTGATGTTCTGTCCAGGTTGGGTTCAATTTGTTTCACTGAGTCCGAGCAACACCAAGTTTTATCTTCTCATTTCCGTAGCTATTTGATCAGTCATTCCGGTCTCTCACAATGTCCATACATTCCATGTAACTATACTAATAGTTGCTCTGGTTGTAGGAAGGTAAATAAACCTCGTGACTTCCGAAGAATCCCGGTTTTCACCATGTGGCATCCTCACTCTTCTAGTTAAACATCCCTAAACTGGGAGGCCAGAGTTTAAGTGGTTCAAATGATTTTTGTGGTCAGTCATGTTTTACCAGGGTTGTTTTCCATGGCACGTGGGGGCTAACACTATACCTAACAATCCTCATTTATTCGGGATTGCAACCAGGAGTAGCCATAGAAGAGCTACAAACGGAGAAATTTATTGCTGAACATAAGAGATTTTTGTTTGTAATATTCTTCTCTCACTCCACAGAATTCGACTATATACATAAACAGAAATAAAATACCATCTATTCAAAATGTAATTTTCTTTGTGATCGAATATGAATGTTTTCACTTTACAATAATTCCCGTCTCTGTTTTTTAAAAACAGATGTCTCTTCTTCATGAACAAAATCAATCAAGCTCTATTATTGAAATAGAAGACGTTAAGTATTTTGAAAATGCTGAGTGCTATCGAATTAAACTCAAAACGCCTTTGCAACCATATACTTATTACAACGTGACATTTGGACAGTTTCGTTCTGATATAGACCATGATTCTGATGGACTGTATATTAGCAGATATTTGGAAAATGGAACCTACAAGTGAGTCTCGATGTTTACAGGTTTATTTGGTATCGGGTACCAACTCACTGGTGTCCGCATTTAACACGATCATTTGCATACATTCTTGAATAGTGATGATCAACGCTTAACAATCACTTCAGAATACACGTCTATTTACTCACTGCTTTTTGGTTAATAAATGCATTTGTTCAGTACTAACAGGACAATGAAAATTCCTCTCACACATTGTGTGTCCGGTGGTCATCATAACGTAACTAAGATCAGTATTCTTACATAGTTTACAATTCCATTTGGTTTACCAAAGAGACAGATACAGATGACTAATAACCTGTAGAAGGTTTGGAAAGACTGGTGAATTTTCACTGCCCTATCAATATAAAATAATACATGTGGATTATTTCAAATAGCGTCTACAATTGTGAAACAGTATAAACGTGATGGTAACAAATTCGTGAGTCAGCAAAGAAGATGAATCAAAACTTTTCACGTCAGCGAAAATATGATTGTATAGATGTACTAAGCAACACAGTGTATGACACAATAACTTTTCGAAATAACTGGGCCATTTGAATGGTAACTCGTCAGAAGTGACAGGCGACATGCTGGGCATGGTATTTCCTTCGAGACAGTTCCCTTTGTTCGAAAGCACATTTTTAAGTACCATCTTTCGAAAATGAGATATGTACGTGTAAACAAATGTTCATCGTTATATATATTTCAGATATTTGGCAAGTACTTACATGGAGTCAATTTATGCAAGGAATGTATTTCCATGTTGGGATGAGCCGGAATTTAAAGCAAAATTCAAGGTATTTGAGTTTTGTCTGAAAATGTTTCATTTTTATTTTTTCCTGCATGATATGTGGTCTGTTGTGAATCCGGATCAGTTTATTAAAATGCAAAATTATTGAACCAAGTAATGCTTTGTGATTTAAATACTGTGTGTGTGATATGCGAACATCTAATTGATGATAGTGATGAGCTTAGCTTACTTCAGTCGTGTTATGAAACTGATAAAATCGGCTCATGACCTCGTTTTACCAACACACTTCAAAATTTATTAACGTGCGTCACATTGTTTGTAGGCGACTGGTTATCTATTAAAAGACACATGTACTAAAAACTGATGTCCTTATGAGAAGTTACTGCAATTAACCTAGACGAATACAAACAGGGACAATCTAAAATGACGTATTTTCCTCCAGAATGTTAGCATATATAATGACAGCAATACATTTCTTGCACTAAATCATTCTATGGTCTAGGACAATTTCTTATTCTTTCTCTCCCCTCTGTTATTTTTTTGTTTGTTTGTACTTTAACTTTCATGTAATTGACCTTTATTAAATTTTATATAAAATGCCCTGACAAGTATATGTGTGACCAGATTTTTCGAAATGTATAGCACAAATACATCACATTTCTCAGATCAACTCCGTCCTCTCATTGTTCGATCGAAATCTAAATCAATGTACAGAATTAAGTTACAACACTCCCTATCATCTACATGTTACTACAAAGCTCTCCATAAACTACGATTAGGTACCCAGTGTTGATAAGTCTTAAATGAAAGCCTATTTGTATTTGTCTCATTACTTATGTGTGACGAAAACTGCAGATGAATACCAAGCATAGCAGATGTTACTCATTGCATATGAAGATATAGCCTATTCAGAATGCAACATGTTTCAGTCAGACAACACTTCCACGATTGGCTATTGAGTAATCCACCAACTCAGCTAGAAAACTAGTTTCCATATGGGTTGAAGATTTCCAGGAGTATGCGATATTACACAAGATAAAGACAATACGAATCTCGAATTGTTTTACTTGGTTAAACATGCTACTTATTATTCCAGAATAAATTTCTCACTTTCATGTATTTCAGGTCAATATTGTACGTGATGAAAATTTCCATTCTCTTTCGAACATGAATTTGGAAAGTACGGAAGTGTTGTACGATAATTGGCGTGTCGACAGATATAACACCAGTGTGAAAATGTCCACATATTTGTTGGCATTCGTAGTTTCACAGTTTTCGAATATTCAGAGGACAGATAATAGAGGAAGAAACGTAAGTATTATCAATTGTACAAAAGCTTTTGTAACTATCCATACAATACTTTTGTAATGTATCGAAATCATGTATATTCAGTAAGGACCACTATGAGATTGCGTGCAACCGATCATCCGAGACGGTTCGGGATATACATAGATCCACGTTACATACATACTAGCATTCACTGTGAAGCAGCAGCAGTTCCTCGATGTTTCGAAATTGTGTGAACACGCTTACAGCTCCACAGTGATTAGAGAATGTCAAACAGGACACCTAAATGTTCTATATAAGTATTCGAAAGCCCAAGTATTGTTTTATGGTGCAAGTCATTATTTTAACAAGGCTGAGTTCTCTGTGTTCCAATCAAATCAAAGTGGTTCAACCACTTGTGAGATTGAAAACAGTCTCCTGTATCATATTTTAGCAATAATGACATGAAGTTCATTTTAATTTATCATAAGACCGATCCATTTCTAAATAAACTAATTCTTTCATTTAGTTCACTGTTTGGGCAAGACCGGATAAAATTCGATCTGCTGAATATGCACTTGATATTGGCATAAAATTATTGGAATACTTTGAAAATTATTTTGGTATTCCCTATTCACTTCCTAAAATGGGTAGGTATTTCACCTAAATGTGTTCCCGTTTAATATATGTGTAATTACATACTGTACAATGTAAACTCTTCAACCGAACAATAAGATTTAAATAACTGAGAGAGATGTATGATCAACTAAATCTAATGTTATTTTAATTATGTTTATTATATTTTGAACTGGAGTGGATTGAATCATAATAAATATATTCAATAAATAAATAATATATTTGTAATATTCTAGTGAGTAAAAAAATTAAATTTTATGATTTTTCGTAACTCAATGTAAGCTACCTCTTCAGAGAATAAATAACTACATCCAAAAAGAAAAGTGTTGAACTATTTAACTGGGATAAACATATGAGTACCTATGGATGTCCATGAGTAATCCTTTATATTAAGTATGCACAACAGTGTATGTATGTATGTACGTATGTCATTAGAACCGTTTACATTTTAAGCATGTTTTTCATCATATTTTCAGATATGATTGCGATTCCTAACTCTTCAATATTGGCAATGGAAAACTGGGGTTTGATAACTTATAATGAACATTTAATGTTAAGAAACGCAGAAAACGGTTCAATAGATACCCTAATCGATATGACGTTCACTGTCTCACATAAACTTGCTCATCAGGTATGCTTTTAAATAAAAAATGAAACCTTAAATTCAGTTTATATCTTTTTAATTTAAAGATCGTTTGGATCATAAACTTACACTACTTGGAAAACGAACGAAAAGAGATTCATTGTGGTTTTCGATTGCAGCAATGAAAACGCACAGGATGTCTGAGCCTTCCAGCAAACTCGTTTTGTTTATTTCATTAAGTTAGATTCTAATAATATTCGTTTCTCACTTTATTCAGGCCCTGTTCATTGTCGATAGACTTGTTAAGCAAAATAATCAGAGCGATTTCTTAAATTTCTATTGTTCGTTCATCACGTCATATGTCATTTTTATCAGAATTCGGTTTACTGATAATCTAAGCCACTAAATTCGCTATTTTACCTGTGGTTGTATTGAAAATGTAGCACAATAACTGCTTTCATGTAATCGATTCTCAATAGTTGTAGTTGAACTCCATCAGTTACTCATTTTCACTACACCATTTGGAATTCCTTTACGACTAGGATGCAGGAACGGAATTTAAGATGTCATTACAATGTACAACCATCGTTTTTAACAATGTAAGTATATGATTTTATGAAAATATCAAAAACCCATTGAGCAATCCGAATATGTAACGTTTATCAGTTTTTAATTTAAACAATTTTCTTTCAGTGGCTAGGAAACTTAGTGACAATGAAATGGTGGGATAACTTGTGGTTGAACGAAGGCTTCGCGTCATTTTTCGAATACATCGGAGTACAGTTATTACATCCTGAGTGGAAAGTAGTAAGTTGAGTGTTTTCTTTGAGAATATTATCAGTTCATTGCTTCATCTAGCACTAGTCACTTGTCATTTCAGAAATGTTTTTCATAGATCATGTACATGCTACAAAGAAGCGGGTATTTATAAACGAAGTTTTGCACTGCTTAACACCACACACTTAGAATGTTTTAGCAAATTACATAAATTCTTAAAAAGTAGGATTTACTAGAACTCTATTTCATTAATCAAAAATGGTCATTTGACTTTAATACAAGTAGTGGGCATTGTTTGAATACACTTTGTAATAAGAAGGGAGAATTTAATAAATTTTAGATGGCGCTTGAAGAATTCACACATATCGAGATAGTTAGTGACTTTTTAATAAATAATTGAGAATGTTTGAACATATCTAGCACTTATTATGATTATATTGTGGATAGTATTGCAATCAATAAAAATGATTTTGTTCTTTGATGAATAGAATGAACTATTCATACTGGACGAATTGATGTTTGCACTTGATATTGATACTGCGATGGAATCAAGACCAGTCATTTATCCAGCTAATACTACAACACAAATTAAAAGCATGTTTGATTCAATCACCTATGATAAGGTCAGTTCTGTATTGACTGTTAATTTTTTTCAAATGTTGGATTTTAATTTTTCATATTATTTTAATGATCGTCAAAGCAATCACGATATCAAGCAGAAGAATGATATTTTTTGCAATGAGTAATTTGACGTGTTAGATGTGTTTCTAAAATTATAGCACTATTAGTCAAGTGAAGCAACAAATCAGATTTTCATAGTTGAATTCATAAGTCGATCTAAGCTGGACCACTTGCAAGACCTGTTGATGTGTTCTATGCTACGACTAAACGACCACTAAGTGCTCACAGGTATTCAGTGGTGACTAATCATAGATCGCCTCATGAGTTTAGCTGTGAAAATACTACAATCTTCACAAATCGCCACACTGATAAATTCAGATCTCAATCTAAACACGACGAATATGACTACTATTACTATTACTATTATGATTATTATTATTATTACTGCTACTAATACTAATACTAATACTACTACATCTGTTAATTTCGAGATAAATGTCACCTTCGAATTACACACTGTAAATCCACATAGAATTCCAATGTATATTTATGTCAATAACAAATTTCTATTGACTGCTAGTTTCAGAGGAGGTCCTAGGATTGGGACTAACCATCTTGATATTGAGAAACCTGTTATTCATAACAATTTGAACACATTTCTAATTAGTCATCAATAAAGCTATGTAAGTGATTGATGTATCCGAATATCTGAGTACACTCTTGACATTCGAAATCATGAAGTTCATCATTCTCTCATATTTGCAATCAACAGAAATGTGTATGCTTCAACAAGGTTACACAACAGAATGTCAGTGATGTCTAAACTTGAAATTTATATTTAGGTTAAGACTACGAAAACGAGTATTTTATTTACACGATAGAAAGCTGTCACCACCTGAATGATTGTATAACATTTGTTAGACCAAGTAAATGAAAAGACTTCTAATTGAGCAATATGAAACAGTCTATATGCAATTATGATTCTCCAAAGTTCTCACGTGAATTAACCGAACTATAATACACAGTAATCTTCCACTTTGTGTGAATCCATTATAATGCGAAAGTATTTATTGTTCAACCATGTGACATATTCTATTCAAAAACAATAACTTTTCTAAATGTATCTTGACTTTGTTATCCATTCGGAATAAATTCATTTGTATCCTATCATCGACTGGACCCAAGTACATTGAACGACTAAACTACCATACCTACAGATTTATCCCATATTTCATACATAATAATATTCTCCATTGCATTCGATATTTCACAGGGTGCGTCCTTGGTTTGGATGATGGAAAAATTCATGGGCCGTAGTGCGTTTCAAAACGGTTTAAAAGTACGTTGACAGTGGTTATTTTGTTGTAACTGAGTGTCATATAATCTAGCCTCGAAGGTCACATTCAAAAGTGAACTGATTTCTTTTCGTTGACTAAGTATTTTAGAAGTTCTTTTCGAGATGTTCCAATACGGAGAGTCCTCATGTCACTTGGTTAGCTACAGATCATTCATTCATTCAGTCAGTCAGTTGTAACATAGGACCAGGCCCATACATGCATTGGTCCTAGTTGCCACACTCCTCTAGCACAGCAAGACGAACACCGAATTCATAGAAGCACTTAACACAACCTAGTATTAATCGATTACCTCAGTCTTCAACACAACTACTCTATGAAACTTTATAACACGTGTTTATCAACAGGCACTCTGCTTATTAAAAAAACTCAAACACGTATGTCATCATAGACAAATGGAAAAGCTTTTAAAACCAAATGTTGGCTGACCAACCTATAAGCATGTTCAATATAGCTAAATTAGTGAGATATTTTATATCAAGCTAATGTGAATATCGTTACAAACAAATTATGTCATACAAAATTCTGATAGATCGTTGGTTGAAATTGTATCCCACTCAATTATGTAGAGTATGTCTGTCACCATCTGTCATCAGTTGCACTAACGTGAGTAAATATTTCTGGATATAAACTCGTTTTGGAAAGTACAAAACTTTTTGTGAGTGCTTTTATAATGAACATTTCAAAAGTTTGATGTTCATAATGAGGAGGAAAATCAGTGTATGTAACATTTTGAAAGATACTCGTTGGGCGATGGTCCATTAAATCGTCGTGTCTATTTTCTATTCGTATATGCCCACTGAACTGCTGCTTAATATTTCATTTATTAATAAATATGTATATATATGGCTTGATCATAATTTTATTGAAAAGAGTCCATTCGATGAACTTCTCGTTCGCAATGGTCTAACAGCCATGTGAAAAGGATATTAGTATATTACAACGAAACCGATTCATTGATGAAGAACACCAACAATATCTGAGTTGTGGAGTTTAGATGATAAATTTTGGTTATTCCTATGACGTTCACCAAACCACTTCAACATGACACTTATTTCGATTGTGCGTGGTATCCTGAAAGAAAGCAGAAACAATACTGAGCTGTAATGTCTGCCGTGTAGGCTTAAATTCTATGATTGAATTCATGATTGCTTGCAAATCGTAATCAGGAAATGCCTTATATAATACGTTTCTCTGTATTTATTAGAGATATTTAATTCAAAACCAATATAAGAACACAGATGAAAAGGATTTGTGGAAGGCATTATCTGAAGTAAGTATTCGGTGATGATTACATTATTACAAAACATTTGGTGTAATCCATTTTGTTGTTGAGTTGCTTTCATAATTTCTCCTGATCGTCACGCATTTTTTTATTACTGATTAGAAGTATCGCCTTAAAATATATTTTAAAATAGATCAAACATTTATGGTATTATCTAATGAATAATTTCGTGATCCATATACCCTTTTACTACCTGTTTCGCGACACTGTTCCTACTTATTCTTTGTTATTATTCTGAAAAAATACTGAACTATACGTTAGTATTAGTTGCAGTTTCATTCATTGACTCATTCCATCGATTTTAGTTACAGTGGTAAAATCTCAACAACCAGTTTGTGTATGTGATCATGCTTGATTATGTTGCATTAAATTATTTATCCACCAACTACAGTCCCAATAAGTCAACTTATAGTGGATGGTCTTAAAAATGGGTGAATTTCACTGTAGTTCATTTAGTTATTTCCACCACTTTTCTGAAAACATGCCTCAGATTATTGAAACACAAGAACATTTGTGTTATAAAGCTCGGTTTCACTTCGTCTAATGTTATAACGGTTGGTTTTCGCGTCTATACGTATGGGACGTTAATTTACCTTGGACGAATATTCGCACTAGGTTCCATCCCAGTGTTTATTCTACAGGACTTCAACACAATTCAGATCAAGAACACGTGATTGGCCTGATTACAACGTAAATATATTTCCGCATCAAACACTCACACAATCCAACAACAATCAACAATCAATGATAAGTGAGTAATAATTATAATAAGGATAGGGGAATACATGAATGAGTTGACACCTGTCAGTTTATCTACATGTCTGACTAACCAAACAACCAATCACTATCATTCTCGGCTACGCATCAGTTTGCGATACCATAAAATTATTTACCTAACTATAAGGCCAATAACCTAATCATAGTTTTGTTTTAATTGCAAATTAGGAATGGAATACTCAAGGAAATCATTTAGACATTGGATTCATTATGGATTCTTGGACTAAACAAAGGAATTATCCACTAGTGATTGTAAAAAGAAGTGGGTCGAATGTGTTCTGCTTTGAGCAGATGCGTTACTTGCAACATTATGGCAACGATTCACTTCGAACTAATCATGAGTAAGTGAACTATATTTTAATTTAGACAACATCCGTATTCAGAGAATACATATGAAGGGAAGTGAGCTTGTAACTTTTGCAACACATGTTATTGTGTTGAGTGCCCATGGTGTCGATAGATATAATTAGTAGGTATCATCAAGTGAAAGTGAATGTCTGGCGGCGGAAGATTACCAAGATTGAAGAAAAGTGAACGAGAACAGAGAATGATTAGCGTGAAAACGAGGGAATAATGAAGTTTGAGACAATTGATTGGCATTTTGCAAATGGATTATTCGCTATATTGTTCTCACTACATTATCAATAAGTTATCTTAAATCATTGGTATTTTCCAATTGATATAACGAGATATAAAAGGCAAAATCGAATTTGACTCATTGTGATTTTCAACCAACATACCTTCCGTTTCTTACTCGGTGAATTATTTTTTAATTTTCCAGTGTGATATTTTATTCCTCATCACATTAAATTATTTCAGCATAGTGTTCATTCAAGATACGATATAATCGTATTAAATTAACATTACCTTTGCTCAACATGACATGCAGCATGTGATTTGTTACAATTCTGGGTATTTTTCATTCATGTGACTTTATTCCAATCAGTAAACGAAATGGGTGTAGGACCAATATATGATGAGTGTATTTTCGACTAGAATCGTAGTTGTATTTTCGGGTTAACTGCTCTTCGATTTCGCCAATCTCAGTATTCGTAATTTGTGTCGTGGGAAATGCAATGGTCTCTCGTTTTTCCAAGTATTAGGTAACACGGATATAACGATTGTCGATGGAGATTTCGAAAAAGTGACAGACATAACAACTGCCGACGTAGTCAATCTACACGTTTCAGTTTTTCAATGTAACTGTCTGGTTCCAGTAATAACCCGGTTTTCAGTACAGCTTTCAATAGAAGCCTGTTTTTGTGTTGTAAATGTACTTCTTTATTTCCATTTATCAAGTCACCAGTATAGAAGGCGATGCGGAAATAACATCGACCGCAGCAGGTTTGCTTTGCACCTCAACATACTGGATTACACCATCATTTCAAACACAGAAATATTACTTCTATTTCATGTCAACTGTGACATTATTGGAACTGTTACACTTTGTCTGAGCAAATGCGTTATTGAGCGGGACTCATCAACATAAGGAAAAAATATTCATTTGAATTAAAAACACTTGGAGCACCATATCATAAAATGTTTCTATCATTATGTAGAACTCTGAACTGCATTATGATAATATGTGCACGTGAGAGGAAGCACGGAATACAATGGACAGCTTGGATGTAACCAGATGGCTTGAACTTAAAAGATGATCTAGCTCTTTAACCTCATGCACACGAGCTAATGCAGGTGAACACGACAAGTTTAGCAACAGTCTCTACATCATTGGGCTCCAACATGCACAACGGAAAAACCAAGATCTCCAAATACAACACAGCGAACAACAACCCTGAAAGCAGTGAAAACCTTCATGTACCTGGACAACATCATCGATGACCAAAGAGGATCTGATGCTGATGTGAAGGCTAGGTATGGCAAAGCAAGGACCACGTTCTCACAGTTGAAGAACATATGAGACTCTGAACAACTGTATGCAGACAAACATCATAGTCAGAATCTTGTATACAAACGTCAAACTAGTTCTGTTGTACTGAGCTGTAACGTGGAGAACTACCACAACCATCATCAAAAATGCACAAGCATTTGTAAACAATCGTCTGCACAAGATACTCACTGTCCGTTGACCGGATATAATCAGCAACAGTTTACTTTGGGAGACAACAAACCGACTTTCAAATGAAGAAGAAATTAGAGGTGGATGGGATATATATGAGTGGATTTAACTAACGGATATTCCTGTGCATTTACGTTTGAAATCCAACTTCACCTCAATAGATCAACTATCATTATCAACAAATGTTTTGTTATGGTACTCGATCTAAGTTCCTGTTTTTGATTATTGTATTTATAGTTTGATAGCTTTTAATGTTCATTATTACATGTTTTGCTACTTTCAGAAACTCCTGGATAATACCAATCACTTATGGGTCAGCAAAAACGGTGAACTGGACAAATGTTGATATTGTTTGGATGGTGAACAGTAAGAAATATCATTTTCCGTTTTCATTAGTATAAATGATTATTATGCTACACATACCTGTACACACTTCGAGGCACGTTCTCAGGCTAGACAGTCGGGTTAACGAGTCTTCCACGACAATGAGACTACGGTTGTCTTATCCAACAAGTTTAACACTAATTTATACTGAGGCATATTTCTAACCTTACATGGAAGAAAACGGTTCATCACCCCTTTCATATTAACTAGATGAGGTGAAAATAATCACTTAAACTTCACGCACCTATTCAGTTTAAATTGTTTATCCTGATTCATATTTAATCGTCACTATTATAATGTTAATTATTTATTTGATTATTCCTCGCTTCTCTAAGACACAATGAATCAAACAATTAATATAAGCTCAGACGACTGGTATTTGGTGAATGTAAAACAAGGAGGATTCTATCGAGTTCACTACGCTGACAATAACTGGATGCTATTAATCAACCAATTGCAAAAGAATTTCACGGTTTGTTAGAAACATTTGTGTTTCTCTCACTTAGAACTTACCATTTTATCAAATATTTTAAATATAATCTTGTTGGTAACATGGAAAATGATACAGGATATTCTAATATGCACTAGTAAGAATGGATCTTCATTTGTTGTGAATATCCAACTTTATTCATTAACTTGGAATGAATTCATATGAAACACACAACACCTTAGGTCAAACGGCATGACCAGTTACCAAATAATCATATGAAGCAACATGTAAAATAACTTTTCGTCACCTGACATAAGTACGCACTAAAGTAAATAGTTGTTTAAGTACTTACCTAATTGATTATCTACCCAAATGATTTCGTCTTCACGTAACTACATACTTACTTATATAATAGCCTCATTTCCATTTTTTTCCAATCGTTTCTCATTCTTTCAATATATGCCTCGAATTCTCGACGTGATGTGTTCTTTGGTCTTCCGCTGTACCTCTTGCATTCTGGATTCGAAATGAGTGATTGTCTCGAGATGCTTAACACAAAATATGTCGTGCCAACCTCCAACGTCTCGTCCTGCTTTCATATTCAGATGGAAGTTTGTTTGTTTTCTGCCACACTGTGTTGCTGTTGATGGTATCCGGTCAACCGATATTGAGTGTCTTGCGCAGACAATTGTTTATGAACACATGTACCTTTTGATGATTGCCATGCCAGTTCTGTAATTTTCAGCTCAGTACACTAGAACCGTCTCGTTGTTTATATTGAAGATTCTGAATTGGACTCATATGTCTTCAACTGTAAGAGTAGTGCCGTTACTTTGCCAATCTTTGCCTCTGCATATGCCACACGTCCTCCTAGTTAGTTGACGATACTTACCAGATACGTGAATGTCTTCACGCATTCCAGATGTTATCCATCGACTGTGAGTTGGTTAGAGTTTTCCATGATTCTTTGTGAATGTTGAGGCCTACTGCTGTAGAGGCTGCTGCTACACTGACTGTCTTCACCTGGATTGTTTGTGTGCATGATATCCATGATCAATTCAACAACAATGTGTTAAAATCTTTGTAATAGAACGTATGGCACTTTCGCAGGTATTTCTTCGCCTGAATTCAGTCTATCAGCTGGTAGGCTGGCTCACACTGCTGCTTCGATGTCCGGTTGTTTTAGTGGAACTGGTCTATTATAGTGTTCTTGAAAGTGCTTTAACCAAATGCCAGATAGAGTTCCATGCTTTGTGATGATGATTTTTGTGGTTTAGCACCTGAGCCGTTGAATTTATTGCTTCTTTAATCTTCTTCTAGTTTTGCGCCTGAGTCGTTTACTCTTTTGGAGTAGATTTTGTAAGACTTGGAGATTGTTGCAGTGATCTATCTTGAATTCTTTGAGTTTACGACTATTTCGAAGAAACGCTGTAATATTGGAAAATATAGACGCAAATAACAATGTAAAAGGTGGAGAACGTGAAAGAATTAAACCAACCTGTCACCCGTTTTGTTAACTCGAGAGATTTCTAATTGTGTTGAAGTTGAGTGGTAGAAATACGAAGTGAGAAGGAATATCATATTTCATACAATATTTACAGTAGATGAAACTGTGTAAGTATAAGGACGACATTATTTTTCTAGGTGGGTGTCGATTGATGTGTGTAACAACGCTTGTATTAAATATTTAGTAATTATTTAGTAAAGTTCGATACACAAATGTGTTAACAGTCAGACATATATGGAAGTTGTGCATGAATGAAAACCTTTGGTGACATGAATATGTACATCAAAATGTATCGAATTTCGCTTCGGGCTGCTGATTCATAATTTCAGCTCTTCACTTAGTGTCGCAAACTAAGCTATGATCTATTTGAAATCACATTCGTTTTATAGATTGCATTTTACATTGTTATTCTATGTTCTACAAGGCATTTCGATTTTCATCTAATTTTTTAATGTCTAGGCTATTCCAGTTTACTCACGCGCACAAATCTTGAATGATTTATTCAGTCTTGCAAAGTAAGTGTAAAGTAGAAAGAAACCAATTTCTTTTCGAGATGATATTTATTCTGTTACAAAATATCAGGCTAGTTAATAACTTTGATTCCAAGTACCAATTGACAACACAAAAAATTGATGGAAATGAGTCAATATGTAAAAACAATGAGTATTCGACATTTCATAACATCTGATTGTAACGGAAACACTTTCTGGAACCTGGATATTTTAATTGATTGCCACCTTCAATCTGAAACGGATTCTTTCAGAAATGCAAATTGGTACAACAGTTTGCAAAAGAAGCAAAATAGTTAGGGAAACGTATAGTAAGCTGCATTAGAAATATACGCAATTAGTTGAACTGAAGTCGTTGTACACATAGACGTTATGAATACTGAAACAGATCAAATGGGAGTTCACAATACGTTTATATAAACTGAAATATTAATTAAAGCCCAAGTCCTCACATTCAGCTTCCCAGATATTTATGTAAATCTTACGACAATATAACGATAGATTAGTATCATCTCAAAAAGTTAACATACACTATACGCTAAATTGTTGAAAACATCTGTTATTACCACATTAATAGAAAACTGTCGTTTGGTTACTCATTTATTACCGATCAAAAAATATAACTTGTCAGGTGAAGTAATTACACAGACATGTAAGCGAAGAATACTCTTTTCAAAAAATTCTCTTCATGTTCCACAATCACATATCCAAACTGATAATCCGAAAAGTATGAAGATATTTCATCAAAGGAAATTTTCCTTCCGACGATATCATTTTCGGAAGCTGTATAACCGCATTTATAGGTAATTGTTACATGTGGTATTCTGCGGTAAAATAGCGGGGTTTTACGTAGTTATCAATGATAGTCAAACTTATTCGAGTGGGAGTCGAAGAAAATAAATTGATTTTGTGTAATATAGAAAAGGTTGTAACTTTATGTAATGGATTCTGAAGTTATAGGAGTTAATAATCTATAGAATGAATGTTAAAATACGTTTTTAGTTAATCGGGGAGGGGAAGAATAAGGCATTCATTAGCGGTTGTAATTTGTAAAATTCGAATGGATGTCAAGACCATGAAAGAATGAAGGATTGAGTGTGACTCTTGCGTACACGGATTTTGAGCGTGAAATAGTGAATCTCTGTAGCCTCAGCTGTCAATGAACAAGTCTTTTTGAGCCTACTATTTTTACTTTACAATTAGCTCACAACTATCTATTTTGTCTTACTTTGACCTCCTTATCAGTCGTCATATCGTACCGTATACTCTTTTCCTGAACGCGACAAAATATTTAAACCGCGAAGATCAGTTTATTGTATGGATAACAGCTAGTCGAGCGCTGCATTATATTAATAACGTGCTTGCCCTGAATGAGAACTATGAAGTTTTCCAAGCATACTTGCGGACTCTTATCGATCACCGAATTCAATCAGCGAATTGGTCATCTGCTGGTCATGGTCAAGATCTTCCAAAGATGTGAGTAATAATATTTCCATTTCATATGCCTCCACTCTGTCATATCACTCGATATTATCTCAGACGACTTTTTCTTCGAAACAATCTGCATGAAAGTCATTCAACAGAGTATGATGAAATTGCCAGTATTGTTATCAGAACTGCTCATCTAAGCAAAAACAGCTGAAAAGGAGATGAAACGAACGGTTTCTGAGAAAAGTGAGATTCATCAACCGGGAGTTGGAATGTCTGAACCATATTGATAAACTGGAACTGTAATGAATAAACGGATTTACGGTTGGGCGATTGGTTAGTTTGCACTTTAAATTGTGTGCTTCTGTAATTAGGGACACGCTGTTGTTGCCTGAGTGAACTCGGTAATTAAGTGTAAATGGTGTATTGTTATAATTTGGTTAGCTGAAATCAATGTAGTATAAACGGTTCTGATCAGAAGGCAAAAGTCGTACGTTTTCATTTCAACTTGATTAGAATGGAAACGCAGACGGTGCCATTGTTTTGTACAACGTCCTGCAACTTATGAAATAAAGGCCACATCAATTACATTTGAGCACCGTGTGATACTACCGTTGTCAATCTGTTTTAAGATGAGACGTATTATCACGTTTCTACGTGATCACGTAAAAACGCGAAATAATTTGTTCTGTTATGTCTTGTCGATAGAAACAGATTTCTAGATGCACCAGTGATTATTAAAGCTGAAAACTAATAAACTGGAAACATTCACAGGGGGGAAGTTATTTCCAATTGGTTATTTCAATGAATGATGTCAACGTATCGTTTGAGCCGGTGAAAGTCCTCACATGTGTTTGAACATATGAATATATCAAAGTAGTAAGATAATGTAGAGGTAACAGCTTGCCATTAGAATGAGATGGAAAGATTTATTTAATCAAAAACTACAGAAATCATCAGGTCATCAATGCTGTACCAACTGGTGAGTTTGATGACATTCGATTTCTCGTAAAGCGATAAGAAAACAGATTTCGGGACGATGCAACAAGTAGGAACATTTTTGGTGTGAATACATTATGTTTCAGCTACGAAATCGCAGCAATCTTCGAATACATTGGAACAACTATGGTTCTCAATGAACGTCTTCAGGCATCTATGTGATATTTTATCTCTATCAACTGTCTAAATAACTCACTAATAATAAACACATTAGTACAAAAAATGACGTATATATAAGTGCATATTTAATGATGTATAACTTAACTATCCTTCCATCATTTACTCGATTTCAGACGTTTCGACTATAATGTGATCAAACTCGCTTGTATAGCTGAACATCATCTTTGTGTGAACAAAACTACAGATCTCTTCAGACAATGGATGTCGAAACCCGAAACAAACCCGTTAGTCATGCAATTAACGATTTTTATATGATAAAACAGACTATTGTATAATACGCCTATATTTTATGTTTAATTTAATTTGAACTGATTCCTAAAACGCAGCCTAAAATAGATTGTGTGATCAGTTTGTTGTTGCCATGATCAAACACGAATGCATGAATAGTTTGTCAATGTTACGGTTTCCTGAATGTAAAGAACGAATAAGTCAGTAGGCACAGTGGAACAACTGTGAAAGTGATGTATATTGTAGACGGATGATGTGTGCTATCTGGATATTTCAATCAGTCGACGATAATTCTCGTGTATGAATAAAAGATTTTCATTTGCGAGAAATCTTCCAAACAACTCTTGATTGGACATTTCTACACCAGTCTAAACAACGCATTTTAATTTACGTGCGATATTTTAAAATGAGTATTGGTATTTGCGTCATTTGCATAAGGTGACGTTAACATGAAAATATATTAACAACTAATGATTACCAAAAACCAAATATTTATAAAACTGATTCGAAGAATGGACGTTTTTTGACCAGTTATGAGACACCGACGATGTATTATTCTATCAATTACTTGTACACTTGCTATCGGTACCCATCACGAAAGCAAAGGCTGTCAACTGGGATTCTCCAAACTATTCTATATTAGCCTTATTTCCAATTTTTCCAATCGTTTCTCATTCTTTCGATATATGTCTCGAATTCTCGACGTGATGTGTTCTTTGGTCTTCCGCTGTACCTCTTCCATTCTGGATTCGAAGTGAGTGATTGTCTCGAGATGCTTAACACAAAATATGTCGTGCCCACCTCTAACGCCTCGTCCTGCTTTCATATTCAGATGGAAGTTGGTTTATTTCCTGCCACACTGTGTTGCTGTTGATGGTATCCGGTCAACCGATATTGAGTGTCTTGTGCAGACAATTGTTCATGAACACATGTACCTTTTGATGATTGCCATGCCAGTTCTGTAATTTTCAGATCAGTACACTAGAACCGTCTCGTTGTTTATATTGAAGATTCTGAATTGGACTCATATGTCTTCAACTGTAAGAGTAGTGCCGTTACTTTGCCAATCTTTGCCTCTGCATATGCCACACGTCCTCCTAGTTAGTTGACGATACTTACCAGATACGTGAATGTCTTCACGCATTCCAGATGTTATCCATCGACTGTGAGTTGGTTAGAGTTTTCCATGATTCTTTGTGAATGTTGAGGCCTACTGCTGTAGAGGCTGCTGCTACACTGACTGTTTTCACCTGGATTGTTTGTGTGCATGATATAGAAGAGCTGATTCGTCTACTGACTCCAAAATATCTAAGTGGATCGAGACTGTTAGATGTATTCTGTACTTCTCCTGAGATGTGGTTGTTGTCACGTTTCAGTTGACTGTCGGAAGGAATAATACGTGAATGGGTACACAGCCTTATGACTACATTTTTTACTTGGCATTCCTCCATTTGCTATCTGCCATGCATGAAATTGAATTGTGATCCGTATTGTGGATTCTGTTTGATGCTGTTCCGTTTGAAGAATTCTGTAATTCTTTTCTTTATATTTACTGCCTGACGCGTTTTCATAATCAAGGAAGTTGTTTCTTAATGACGGATTCATTTCAACTAGTTGCTCTACTTTGATCTATTGTATCGCGATTTCGTCTGTGCGCGATAGATCCTTAAGAAACGTAGCCGGATGATCTCAAGTTCGCTCATTACCTGAGGTACTTCACTGGATAAAAGTTATAATTTATAACGTTTCGCGGCCTTAAAGAGATCACTTATTAAGAGCAAATAATTGGCGAGAGTTAAATTGAAAAATGTTGAAGTAGTATGATATGGCAAGATATTTGAGCTCATATTAAGGTGTTAAACGTCTAAATATATATTTCATTTCACAATACGCCTTTATCAAGACAAAGAATGCGAATTCGATCACTCAGAATAATACAAACTGATTGTAGAAAGAACATTCAATTTCGGAAATGGTAGAAAGTTTAAATTGTTAATATTCCTGAACTGTATTGAAACGCATATAATGATACCTTGTTACGCTTATAAATGTATCTAAAAGCGTATTATATGAGTAAACGTACGGGTTGAAATTGATTTGATGATCAAGAAAGTTAATGAACTCTGTAAACAAAAGATTAGTAAACTTTCCCTTATCTGAATAGTTGTTAAGAAATCTTGGAATTAACTTCACACACACGCACACAGTCATAAATCTCTAGCAATAATTTCATTTCAATCGAATGAATATAACGTTTTGGTTCATTTTTTTTGTTTTACAGCATACGACCTGAGTTGAGATTCACTACTTATTGTACAGCTATTCGTCATGGTGGTCAGGAAGAATGGAAATTTCTAGAAAGTCAGTTGATGTTGAATGATTCTGTGAACAAGGAGGAGAATCAAAACAAGATTCTGGCATTAACGTGTTCTCGTGATTCAGAGATTATGAAAAAGTAAGTTAAAATGTTACCTTCAATATTACACTGTCACATCTGTCAATGAAAACGGTAACCTGACTAAATGTTTGAAATCGCTATTTCTAGCGACTAGAGAATATGGTCACAGAATTTAAATCCGATTGTTATAGTCGGAGATTTCACTACATTTGCACGACATTTTCTGGACTTACGTGTGACAATGAGTATAATTGAATAATTGGAAAGACAGTATTTTACACCTGGAGTAGCGGTTGAATAAACAAACACTGTCAAATCTAATGAAAGTTTATAACATGAGCTTACACCAACTCACTATCAAATGTAATAGGATATAGGACATGTTTTTGGTTCATGGTTGAAACTACTTAAACCTAGATTACTTATATTTTTGGACCGAGTCTATCAAGTAGCATCACGTCTCGAGTAAACCCGACAAATCTGAACCCCTGATCCAAACCCTGGTAGTTTATGTTGTCAATTCGCTTTCATATCATAATTGATGTAAATTTTACTTCATACGGATTTTCCGAGACCAGTGGAGTTTTCATATGTTAATCAACAGTTACCTCATGGTTATCAACAAGATATAGCACTCACAAAATTTCACAGTGCGCGAACACATTGATTAATACCGAACAATTTTTTCGCAGTGGAACTACCAATATCAAGACTTATTGCAACGTGGTGATGCAATGATCGCAGGCTTCATATCTACCAGTAAAACGGTCGATAATCTAGGTTCGTTATGTGTACGACACATTCGCACAATTAACTCAACAACATCTACGACGGGATAGAATTCACAGTGGAAAAGAGAACGAATCGTTGCCAAGACCAGGCATTTTAGCTGCAAATTTCATCGGTCATACTACATTCTAGGCCCTCATATCGTTTTATTCTACAGATACAAATTTTTGTAAGATTAAATTAGAACACCACACCTACTTAGCTAAACATTTCTTCCGTCTTTTCGTCAGGTACTTAAAGCGAGTAAGAGAGAACGAGAACTTCTGGTTTGCGCTTGACTATTTCGCACAATCTCCAGTCGGTAACCAACTTTTATGGGATCACCTGAGTGATGTACATAATTTTAATGAACATAAGTAAGTTTAAATTTCTATTAACAGTGAGGAACCAATGTCATATTAATGTCATGAGGTAGATGGTGCTTTTTGTTTTCAGATGTTTGTGTTTTGCTTGTGAAGTCGTATAGTCTACATAATATGTAGGAGATGGATTGAATATCAACATCTTGGAATGTCAGTCTGTAATCTAGGAGATTTTGTAGACTTTTCACTTATGCTTTCACATGTGAAAAATCCCATAGAAAAATTCAACCTTTTGATGAACACAGTAATTTATCTCATACACATTTTTCAGCAAATGTAATTTTAGGCTGATTAAGATATCAATACACAGTTAGTACGAGGACTAGTAAATTAACTTAAATAACTCATATCTGTGCCATTTAGATTAGGGATGTTGTAGTCCTCCACGTCTCAACTCAGTAAAACAGAACTGTCTCGACGTTCTTATTGAAGATTCTGAATTTCACGTTGGTCTTGTCTGATGACCAACCTGATTTCTTTGATAGTTGGTGTAGTGACATCTATAGGATGGTCTGTAAGTGGTGCTTCGATATCTGATGGGTCCAATGGAGCTGGCCTATTCAAGAGTCCCTCAAAGTGTTCTGTCCATCTGTTCCTATGTTCTTCAATCTTGGTGATTGTCTTGCCTTCTTTCTCCTCGACTGGTCTCTCTGTTTTACTATATTTCTCTGCCACCATCGTTGTGTCATGTAGCTCTTAGTCCATGTCGTCTCATTATATCTTCGTAGCCGTTGTTATCCACTCCGACTTCGACGTTTAGATCACTTATCAGCGTGGTCAGGTCCTTTCCTGGGCAATTCGCCATGATCGATTGCTGCCTCTCGTATGACAGATCTTTAATATCGTCGTTGATATTAGTCGGTGCACAACATAGGATAACATTCATTGTATTTCCACCCTTCTTTGTTTTGAATGATACTTTGGTTTTCTTGGTCTATCTTATAGGTGTACTTCTTTGGATAGCATCAGAGCAACTCTCTGAGTAAGCGGAGCATTTTCCTCTTCATTAGTTGAATATGATGAATGTCTAGTTAGCAATACCAAGTACTCAGTCATTCGTCTATGGACATCTTTGATGGAAAATAACCACATTAATTTTGTATTTTGCTCTTTAATTTTGTTTCACAGAGACTTCACTGAATTCATACTAAACGCACTAACTAAATATCCTTATTCACTGTATAGTGGAAGGAATTATGAAAAGGTTAGTAGACGGCCTATTTATTTCACATGGTTTTACACATGTTACTTTGTTTCGTCCCATATGCACACATACTGTTATTATGTAATTTAATTTTCCGAATGTGATCGTTTAGGCAAATCTGACAATGTTCGGTAGCACACACTCAATTAATCAAAAACAGTTTCAATGAAGTTAAACCGAATAAAATGAAAAACAACAACATTGAGTGGTTGATTGAAGTTGGTAGGATGCCCTAAATCTAACTTTCATGTTACATAGAATTCGTCAACTATGCATTTCTGCAATCTGATTTTCCAGATATTATCGCTAAATGATTTGAACTGTAACACAAATGAAAATCAACACGGTGTGGAGCTACTCAGACTAATGACTACACTGTAGTATGTTGCGGAAAATTCGATGAGTCCTAAGAGCCAGATAAGAAGAATCCTATTAATGTTCAGCTACGAGTTAGTGGTGATTCTACTATGTACATTCTAGAGTGAGGATGATACAATTTAATTCTACAGTACTCGTTTCCTGATTCATTTCTATATTGAATACTGATCATCAATCATGTGATTATCAAGTGTTCGCCTCATAACTGAAGAGACCTAACTCACCAATTATGCAACCGCTCATTTTTCATACACCCTGTATTTAAATAAACACTCAGTCATGACATATACACTTAAATGTCCTCCGCGAACACATCAGATGTTGTTTTCAATTGCTTTCTCCACGCCATGTCAAAAACACCTGAAAGCATCCTTTCCAAATTAAAATTGAAACTTTAATCTGTAAACACTCTATAGCGATTCGAAAGTGTGAAGGAGTGTGTGCAGAAGCTACATAAAATATCCGAAGTACCTGACAATATTTTTTGTAATAAACCAAACACTCATTATTTTGCTATAAAACTGATTGACATCCACCATTTTTCATCTCAAATTTAAACTATCAAGTTTATGCATTGGTTGCACATGAATTGTACATAAAATGAAATTTTTGTCTTTACAGATCCTTGTAACAGAAGCTAATCATCAAATAGACTCTGAACTTCGAGAAAAAGTCAAATATTTACTTGAGATATCCAGTGGAAAACTGAAATGGACTGAAGTCTATTCTGAAATTATTCAGTGGTTGAAAGAAAATGTCCCAATAGTTACCTATTTATTATAGACCAGTACTGTTGATGAAGATCGACCGATTGTTTAATCATAAACGATACGAGATAATTCTTTTGACTTCCATCATTGTTAACATTAGTATCTTTTTATTCTACCAAGCCTTATGGCATTTATATGTCATTCCATATTCGCACTAGTACTTTGAATGATTGCTTGTAGTAACTCGTAGTAACGTTTACTGGATATTTGTATTTATTTTGACAACACTGATGTTCGAACAATATTGTTGTGGGTTGTGATTCAAACTGTTCAATATACTGAATGCCAAATAAAGTACATTGATTATGAACAATACGGTCTTTGTTAATCAATAAAATATTGTTATCTAAAAGCACATAAAAAATAATTCCGATAATTTATGACAGATTAAATGGATAAATTACTGATTAAAAGAATCATGAAAATCATTAAGTTCGTAATAAAGCTAGTGAAATCGATTCAGGGACAACCGATTAGCATCCAATAATATTCCAATAGTAATATGTAGTGAGATACTGTGATGAAAGGACTGCAGTTAAATGTCAAGCTGTGTAAAAAATATTGGTAGAATTTCAACCCAAGCAAATCACTTCAAAAACTGGAACTCTTAGCCCATTTAAAAATCAAATCTAATAACTAGTTCATAGGTTTAAATTTAATTAAACTAAGCAATAATTATTTTTACACATGACCTTGAAGTTTATAATTTAATATCAAATCTCATTAGTTTCCTGGCCAGTTGTTCCATTTTTCTAATACCCGAATGTCGATGGAGCTGCAGCAATAATTAATCCAGATGTTTTAAGACAAATATAAATGATCGATATTAAATCCGTAAAGTAACTAAATGTTTCATCACTACAAACGTCTAACGAATTGACAGTGTTACGTCTATCGAAGCGTCCAGGTCAACCAATTGAGATACGCGCAAAACGGTTGCTCGCAAAACAACGATTTGTCTACAATAGTGCTTCTTTATCAAATAATACACAAAAATTAGTTACAAACCTCAACTTGTGAGGTATCTGTGGCGTTCAACGAGCCCTTTTGTATGAAATAAAGGGCTTCGATAGTGCAAAAGATAGCTGATAGGTGTGTCTAAATTTGGTAACAGTTTATCCACAACCTAGACGCCCGCCTAGTGCCAACCTAGACGCGAACCGAGAGCAAAACAAACGCGCAAAACTGTAGATAACTGCTAAAGTGAATAAGGTAAAGTAGTTGTAATGATAAATAGAATAAACGTTGTAGGTATATGTCAATATTTCAGAATATTACATGACGAATTTCGTTACAACATAAGTGCAAACATTTCTCTGAATACATTTATTTACTTACTTACTTACTTACTTACTTACGCCTGTTACTCCTCGTGAAGGAGCATAGGCCGCTCACCAGCATTCTCCATCCAACCCTGTCCTGGGCAATCCTTTCAAGCTCTTTCCAGTTCTTATTCATCTTTTTCATATCGGCTTCTATTTCCCGACGTAATGTGTTCTTTGGCCTTCCTCTTTTCCGCTTCCCTTCAGGATTCCAAGTTAGGGCTTGTCTCGTAATGCAGTTTGATGATTTCCTCAATGTATGTCCTATCCATTTCCATCGTCTTTTCCTAATTTCCTCTTCAGCTGGAAGCTGGTTGGTTCTCTCCCACAAAAGGCTGTTGCTGATGGTATCCGGCCAATGGATGTTGAGTATCATGCGTAGACAGCTATTAATAAATGGTTGAAAGTTGTTTTGAGTTCCATATGTTCTTCAGTTGAAGGAACGCCGCTCTAGCTTTGCCAATCCTCGCCTTGACGTCTGCATCTGAACCTCCTTGTTCATCGACGATGCTTCCCAGGTATGTGAAGGATTCCACGTCTTCCAGAGTTTCGCCATCAAGAGTGATTGGATTGCTGTTCTCCGTGTTGTGTTTGAGGACCTTGGTTTTCCCTTTGTGTATGTTGAGGCCTACTGATGCAGAGACTGCTGCTATGCTGGCTGTCTTTATCTGCATTTGTTCGTGTGTATGTGATAGGAGGGCTAGGTCATCTGCGAAGTCCAAGTCGTCTAATTGGTTCTGAGCTGTCCATCGTATGCCGTAGTTTCCCTCAGATGTCGAGGTGTTCATAATCCAGTCGACCACCAGAAGAAACAGGAAGGGAGAGAGTAGACAGCCTTGTCTTACTCCGGTCCTTACTTGGAATGCGTCTGTCAGCTGTCCTCCATGCACTACTTTGCACTGTAGTCCGTCGTATGAGTTCCGGATAATGTTGACAATCTTCTCGGGAACTCCGTAGTGTCGAAGAAGTTTCCATAACGTTCTCCTATCTACACTGTCAAATGCCTTCTCAAAATCAATGAAGTTGATGTACAGTGACGAGTTCCACTCAATTGATTGTTCGACGATGATCCGTAGTGTCTGTGCACGACCGGTCCTTACGGAATCCAGCTTGTTGATCTCGAAGTTGAGCGTCAACTGCGTCTTTCATCCTGTTCAGTAACACTCTGTTGAAGACTTTACCCGGTATTAACAGTAGTGTAATGCCTCTGTAGTTTTCACACTTGCTCAGATCTCCTTTCTTTGGAATCTTGATGAGGTGTCCTTCTTTCCAATCCATCGGCACTTGTTCCTCCTCCCAAATCTTCTTGAATAGAAGATGAAGCATGCTTGTAGTTACTTCGATGTCTGACTTCAACGCTTCAGCTGGTATATTGTCAGGTCCTGCTGCTTTCCCGCTCTTGATTTGTCTGACGGCCATTCTGATTTCTTCGGTCGTTGGTGGATTGACATCTATAGGAAGATCTGTGTGTGCTGCTTCGATGTCCGGTGGATTCATTGGAGCCGGCCTGTTCAGGAGTTTCTCGAAGTACTCTGCCCATCTGTTCCGCTGTTGTTGAATCTCAGTGATTGGTCTTCCTTCTTTGTCTTTGACTGGTCTCTCTGGTTTACTGTATTTCCCTGCAAGCTTCTTCGTCGTATCGTAAAGCTGTCTCATATTTCCTTCTCTTGCAGCTTTTTCCGCCGTCGTTGCTAGTTCTTCCACGTATTTTTGCTTATCAGCTCTAATGCTCTTCTTCACTTTCTTGTTTGCTTCTATGTACTCTGCTTGTGCTTGGACTTTCTCTGCTCTTGTTCGACTGTTGTTAATTGCTGTCTCCTTGTTCTTTCTTTCTTTGATCCTGTCCAGTGTTTCTGTAGAGATCCATTCCTTGTGATGATGTTTCTTGGGGCCCAGAACCTCTTGACACGTTGAAGTTAATGTTTCTTTGATACCTTTCCAGCTATCCTCCATAGTAGTTTCTTCTTCCTTCAGTAGATCCTGTAAGGCTTGGAACCTGTTGTT